TACATGGCGGAGTAAACAGTTTCTATTTATAGTAAATTTGTACTTATACTAAACATCATATACTTCCAAAAATGTTCGGTAGTCACATTTACATAAGATACATATATATATACATATACATAGTCTAGGTGATCAAATCCCTGAATGTAATCTTATTGCTGTAAATTCGAACGGCAATTTACAAGTGATTATAACTACCATAAATATATACCACAAAACTTTGTTAAGTATCTATTTAGTTAAAATATGTTCATTATTTACATATACTGACAGAATCATTGCTCTCTCTAATAATTTCACTGTCATCGGTTTTACATTATTTAATAAGCGGCAGATGCAAAATTCCTGTTGCCATCAGCTGGTTCCAAAGGAAGCGACTGATATAGTTTTCCTGTCCACTTTAAGAGGAAATTCGTATTGCAGTTTCACTAAACCTATTCACAGATAACGTTATTAACTTCAATACAACGCCAAGAATGCGGTATACAAATAGTTCTATTAAATAAAATTTCTTCAATTAATTGAATAATACTTCTTATTATTCTATTAATAATAATTAAATACTCTATTAATAGGGTCCAATTTAAGGTGACGTAAATTTATATACTGTCTGTAGTTTACGCGAGTAGTTCACATTTAAATAAAACACTAACCGTTTAAAACGCGATATATATTAGTTAAACTTATTTGAAATTTTAACTACGGCTAGACGTTTCGGCTGCTGCAAAGCTTTTATTAAATGGTTTAAATTTGTTTATTGTGGTTGTTGACATGTCCTTAATTGTATGTTTATTATTAAGTAGGTACATTTTCGGTTTCATTAGGTTTAAGAATCATGAATTAACAAATGTTTAAACGGGAAATTAGTTACTTTTTATTATCAGATAAAAAGTTTTCTGTTTGACATTGAGGGTAAGATAAAATCGTTATATTCTATTAATCTACAACATTGATAGAAATGTGCTTACAATTATTAAGTAAATATGTTTGAACTTGATGCGATTGTCGCACAATAAATAAAACACTTTTAACGGTTCGAAATACGATACATTAGTGTACTTCGTTCGCCGCGTTTCGGAGTTTTACAGCAGCTGTTGTATTCACTTTCAAGCTGCTGAGCTGAGCTGATTGAAGAGAAACTCATAGCTTATATATGAGAATAACATTTCATAATCATGATCGAAAGCTTAACTCCTTCGGGATTAATTAAATCGTCACTATCATTACTAAGTATGTAGTTGACAGGTCGTTCGTTTGCAACGAGTAATTCTTCCTGTTTTCTGTATCAGCGAACGGATCGGTGGGAACATCTTGACCTTAGAATCTACACATTCCAAATGTAGGGGTAATCCTTTGCAATGTTACTTAACGAAAAGTTAGTTAAATGGTATATAGCAAACCTGTTTCCCCGACTAAACCGAATAGTTATTTTTGGCATCAAAGTATATTTTTGCAAACAACCTCCTTATCTTTAAAATTGGTAGCTGTGTGTTACCGACGATCTTGTCCGCGTCCCGTCGGTTTTGCGAGTTTATCTTGAAATCTTCATGTTCTAAAGTCCTGAGTAAAGATTCTCCTAACATGAACTTTACTTAGAATCGTGATTCTCAATATTTATATTCTTCGTGTACTGAGAAGTACGTCATTATCTTCATAAACATCATTACCGGATTAAGTCTTGAACTATTTTGAAATGATTCGTCATACCCAAAACAGGCGCCCTGATAACTTTATCGACCGAAGTGCTGATAAGATTTTATTGATATGGTCAGTCAGATGTTTTCAATATAATTTCCATATTTTCTTAAAAATCAATGTTACCAATTGTAAGCTGTATGTAATATGTAAAATTAGGAATGAACAAAGTCTTTAGGTATTAACTAAAACAGCAAAACAGTAGGACGATAAAGCTTTTTACATTTTTATAACCAAAGCAAAGTGTAAAACATTTCCTAAAGGTTGTATTCCTTTATAGTATTATTTTATATCCGTGCTGTTGCTCTGAAGGAACGTTGACGATGTCGAGTCGATTTTTTTTCCTTCAAATCCTGCCCGAGTCGAAAAGATTTTCAATTTATTTTCGATTTTTAAACTATATAGTGCCTTCATGTGAACATGAAGGCACTATATAGTGACATATATGTAAATATAATTACGTTTTCAAAGGTTGTATTCCTATTAGATTTTGGTTATGTATTAATTGTAGGTATTAAGAAAGACTTTTTAATTAAAAATTGATTTCGAAGATGTTCCAGGAATTATGAGCTTCTTTTTATTTACATTCTAGTCTCAAGACATTAACACACAAACAAATGAAGTTGAGGATAAGAATCCGCAGCATTATATTATTTTCAATTGTTTGTCTTGATTTAAATAACAGCCAACGAATAATTCTCACTCAATTAATTAAACAAATAACGTTGTAAACTAAGGGCTCTGAAAGCAGATAGACTAGAAAGCGAATTCATTATGAATGAATAATTCTACAACGGCTAGGTAAACGCATGAAGCTGTCTGCATAATTATAAGTTTCCAAAAACGTCTCACGGAACGGCGTCGTCTGAGATATTTCAGAACGCGATGTCCGTTTATTCTCGTCCAGACGAGACGGGCGCCTCCCAGCATAACAAACTCGTGTAACCTATCTGCCAAAAAACACCTTTGATCTGTCTGGGCATCGGAACCAATTTTCATTAATTACTCACTTCCACCTTTGAAGTGTTTGAACTCTAGTCATTAAAAGAAAATTATGTAACTTCACGTAAAGACCTGGATGTACAGCGTGCTTTAAGTTCTATTTATAAATTAAACAAAAAGGTATACCTGGATGTAATTAATTATTTAATATAAGGTTTGAGCCATTGACTGTTATAATAACACTAATAGCACACATAAAAAACAATGTTTTTAGGTAAATTTTTAAACTATAGCAAAAAAATAGCTAGGTACCTCAATTGGTTAGAACAACAACACACGGAACGCTGACGATGTCCGGGTCGTACATTTTTTCAATTTAATTTAACTATAGCCAATTAAAACTTGAAGTTCGTTTTAAAATAAGTTCTTCACCATTTCCGAGATGTTAGTCCCTTAAGTAGCAGTACTCCTATATAAAAATCCTATATGTACATATATAGAGCAACTAACACATAACACCCTGTATTATAATGAAACAATAGTTTCATCGCGTCGCTATGTGCATACATTATCCATTGAAATTAGAGTTTAATTATGTTCACGACTTCTCCTTTCCTGTCCTAATCACGATATTAAATACATATTCAATTAAGAAGTGCCTTGAATTATATCATTTACTGTTTATTGTACGTAAAGTTAGTTCTATGAAGACATCAAAAATTTATTTTGTTTCGTCGTGATTAAAAGATACCCTTCGTAGTAAATTTAAATATTCCAATAATAAATATGTTTTAAATGAGTACTGTAGTATACACTAACAGTCTTTTATTTTTATTTTTCAATGTTGATTATAAAAGCGGGACTCGAAGTAACGACGTGAAGTTTCTATCCTTTATACTATTAACCTAAAATGAAGAATATTCTAAAGTAATTTAAAATAAAACACAAGTACAACTTGGGGAATACGATCCACCATAATATTTTAATCATGTCAGATTCAGCTTAAAATAATATTAACAATAATTTCTAGACACTTACTACTGAAAACTTTGACTCAAATTGCACCTCTATTGCGAATTAAAAAGCATAGTGTAGTACAGTTTTCTCCAAACTTTTTAGCCAGGCTGAAGTTAGCGCGATCGCCATCTTGCGCATGGTCAATCTTAAGCAAAAAGTCGAGTCCCCCGCACCCGCGCACCCCCTTTGCGGAACTGACCGCTTTTTGCGTTCTGCGCAACCATCCGCGCTAACTTCAGCCTGGCTAGAAAAGTTTGGGGAGCTGTGTATATTTATGAACTTATAGAGGTACCACAAAGCAATATGCATTTTTAGTATTAGCCTAAGTATCTGTAATATTATTGTTACAAACTCGAATAGAAAATTTTATTCCAGATAAAAATTAACGTATAATGTAATTCAAATATAAATAAACAACTATACTATATAATGGAATTCAAGTGTCAAATCGATTAAAGATAAAAATCTATTTCACTATTACAAACAATAAGGTTTATGAGATTGTGTAAAAACATAAGAACGCAGATTTTTACATTGACAATGATTTAAAAGTAGTTTTATGAGTATTCATATGATTTAATTCAGTGAATAATGCTATTCGATATCAAAAAACATCAATATTATTGCATCTGGTGTAATCAACCCCTTTTACGAGGTGGAAACAATCCAAGCATTTAAAATATATTAATAAACTTAATATTAATTAGTATCACATACACTATAACGAAACAATGTGGAACAATTTACTAACATTTTGCAGGAGTTGCATGGTGAAAACAACCTGAAAAAAGCACTTTTATTATTTTTCAGATTAATAGTTTATAAGGTAATCCTATAGCTAAATAAAACATATACTTATTGGTTATGTTAAAGTTTAATCAAAGAAACGACATTGATAGACAGAGACTGACCATTTTATGTCCTCGTTTTTTGTAGGAGATTGTGTAAAAGAGACAAATATTAAATCGTTTTGCCATTTATACGGTAAATATTTAACATAGCTTTTAATAAAAATAAATTTAGTAATACCTACAGATACTTAGGGTATGACTGACGACATTCAAAGTAAAAAGACATCAATACCCTGTAACAGTTTAAAACGCAAAGTGTTGTTAACTTATTTACAATTTATTTTTACAACGGCCGACGTTTCGGCTGCTTTGCAGCGAGAGTGGTCACAAGATGGAGGTTGTCCCTAATGTCAAAATAAAAATCTGTTTGTGAAGCAGCAATATCTTGCAAGTCGTTAAAAGTGGTGATAGTACTCAAGTAAACTACAGACAGTGAACAGCTAACATTAAAAAGGTTCTGTAAAAGAAAAGTTAAATTACCAGTTGGCAGGCGCGTCATGCGAAGTAAGCGCGAACCAGCGCCTTCACGGCAGCACGACACAACGGACACGCGGCTAACGCTGTGCTGCAAGACGCGCACGACACGAGGTGACCGCATGGCAGGAATACGATGCTGACCTGCGAAGCACATAAAGTCAATCGTCTATTCAAACACTATATATATAGTCAATCATGTAATATAAAATATCACGCTGCGACCATTAGGAACCAAGAAACAGTGGGGTGTGAAACTCGGTAAATTCTTTGAGAGTTTCTTTTGCTTGCAGTGCGAAAAGTTACCCAAGTTACCCAAAAAATATATATAGGAGTGGTCTTCAAATGATCTAAATGATGTCCGCGACAATTTATGTCTATCTTTAAAATTTAATTTGCAAGAGCGACGGGTCGCAAACTACGCCATGGGTAACAAACAAGCTATGTAATATATAAAATTCTCGTGTCACGGTGTTCGAACTTGAACTCCTCCGAAACGGCTCGACCGATTTTCACCAAATTTCATATGTGTATTCAATAGGTCATCCCTAGTGATAAGGGTGGTTCTTTAATTTTTTTTTAAATTTTTGAACGAAATTTTTAATTTCTATTTTTTATGATACAACATACAAAAATACATACAATCCTCAATTTTCACCTTTCTACGATCAACCCTTATTTTTTAATAGACATTTTAGTAAAATTATTTAAATGGCAAAACAAGTTAGCGGCTCACCTAGTATTTTATAAAAATATCGGGCGTCAAAGTTTGCAACAACAAAACGTTGACGCCCAAAATAAAATTATTCTAGGCGAACAAAGTCGTTAACTCAGATAGTGTTTATGGAATCACAGTAAAAAGGAACTTGTTTATTTAACAAGACTGACATGTCTACATGATAAGAACATTAAAACTGCCCTTGACAGATAGAAAGCCCGTGAAGTGTAAATTCGAGTTCTCCTACAGAATCTGGAGTTATGAAGGCCCAAAGCCAAAGGAAAAACAAGCAAGAAATAAGACAACATCTCCATAACTCACCTCATTATCCATACAGACTTTACACAGTCTAGCCTCCTTCAGTTGTCTGTTCTCCTCTTCCAAGGTTAGTTCCTTCTGCTCTGGGACCGGGGTCTTTGGTTTTTCTTCCTTCGCAGGTTTGCCTGTTGGTTTGTATACTTGGACTGATGACTGCGCTTCTGGCAGCGGAGGAGTCGGCGAACTGTCAGAAGACTGTCTGCTGTCAGATCTATCTTCGTGCAAGTTGAAGGCCCTGTAAACGTGGTTCAAGGTCTTAATACAAACATTTTACTTGAACGGCTGTTTGATAATGCGATAACTATAGCGCCAATTACTTTATCAGTATTATAAGTAATTTTAAGTTAAGTTTAGAAATAGTAAAACAGTCACGTATGTTAAAAATAATAATTAATTAAGTTAAATACCCGTAAATAAAAAATAATTATTAAACATTTGTGACATGATACAAAATGCTCCTGATTGATCGGGTTTAGGACGACGTCACTTGCTTATAAACAGTGCTATAAACCACCGTGCTTCCTAGTGTTTAAACTTATCTATTGTCTAAATTAATAAATAAATTTTTAATTCATTTTATTAGTTCAATCACTGTTAAAATGTAAATGCTTGATTCAAATGTATGTAGATTGAAAAACATATGAGCGACACACACCAATGGCCTATATAGGCTTGTGACGTCACTAGCCGTATTGCTGCGTCATTTCGTAAAATTAGCGTTTAGGTGCGCAATTTAAATGTTGGATGTTTAATTTTATATACTTTAGCCAATAAGTATCGGAATTCAAAAATACCAGTTTTCTGGAGTACTTTCACATGTACCAAATACATTTTGAAAATCATTCAAAGAACCCTTTATTCTTTACAATAATTAAGAAAATTGGATCTTTTCTTCGTTTATATTTTCCCTCTACATACGCCCATTTTTCATTCTTTTGACTTTTTAAAAACTGTAAATCAAATGACATTACCTAGAAGTAGTGTCGAAGAGGCTTAGGGTCTCAGCGAGTATATCCCTGGCGAGGCGTTGGCTGGAGACAGTGCTCCACGCCTCCTCATTTAGCTGATCATCCAATACAGCATCTATTAAAGACTCCGAGTTGGGAAATGGGGACCCTGAAAAAACACCATAATATAGTTATAAAAATACAAGTAGTGTAAATAGTTCCTTTAATATATTAGAATAGATATTGAAAAGTATCGGGACCAAATCCCCTCTTTTTAGAGCAGCTGGAAATTTATATAAGCTTTAAAAATTATAGATAGAAACAGGAACAGTTCATTAAAAGAAACATTTTTTTCTTCTACGCTTATCTCTTTTAAAAAATGAGACTTTACCCTCATATATAAGGCCTTATACCAAGACAGTAAACCCCCCTGGATCTACAATTTTAATCTAGAATATAGATTGCGTGTTGATAACACGTGCTAAGGCTATATGCTCAAAATGGACATCAAGATAAATCTGTCTCTCAGATCGATATAATACGGAAGTATATTAATATGTAGTTAAAAGAACAAAGGAAATAAAAATACCAGTAGCACGCAAGCGCCTGACGATGGCTCGCCTCACCCGTGCGACGTCCAAACCTGCCCCCAGCGCGGCACCAGTGGTACTGCTCTCCATACACGCGTCTATCTGTAGGTTAAAATAACATTATTATAATGGATCCAGGCCGCATCTTATGTATGCCTTCAATTTCAGTTAACATTACGGTGCATCAGGAGCGATGGTCCATATAGCACGACAACTTGCACTGGTGCAATGGGCTGGGTCTCACCCCTTCTCTATATGAGAGGACACCTGTTCCTAGCAGTGGACCTTAATACGTTGAATTGAATAATTAGCGCGTACAAACGCTTTGACACTATTGCGTACTTACGTTACTTACCTTAATATAATAAAAATAATTTAAATAAAACTTCATTTTAAGTTTTTTTGGGTACTTCTCGCGTACAAACATAATAAAATCACCAATAACGATATAAAAACTAAAAAGATTATTTATTAAAAAATACAAGAACTTATATCGGATTTAATTAATGTTTTTACCTGTGCATCTGTCACGGGGAAAATTAAAGGTGGATTGCGGGGCCTCGTAGGCAAGGCGGCTGGATCCGCTGACGACTAAACGAAAGAAAATAAGCACACTATTTTTACCTAAATAATAATACTACCAGCTATTATTATTTGAATCATTATCAACAGATTACACTAATTATAACGAAAAAAAAAATTTTAAAAAGACTGCAAAAAGATAATAATAATAAATAAATGTATAATAACAAACGGGCGAATTACCTGGACGTAAAACCCCAACCAGATAACGTCCTAAACGAGATACGCTATCGACCTATTGTGGCTTAATATTCTGAAATCCAGACTGAAACCGATACGCGATAAATCTTAAAGGCTTTTTCATGTGAAGGTTTATCACCCGAGAAAACCATATCCTACCACCTATTTAATACCTCTAGGTATTAAATTTTCCAGATGAAGTCAATCATGTTTCAGAAATTCAGTTAATGAATGTTGATTATTAGCCATACATTACACCAACGAGCACATAAAAATAAATTGGACTTAGAATATACAACCGTCCGATTGTTGGTATCTGCGCGCGCTGAGTCCACAAACTGCTGTCCCTTGAGCAATAACACGTAACCGCACTGAGGGAACCAGCGGGCGTGTTCGCGCCAAGGTACGTCCCCAGCCTCCCACTTGCCAAGTCCCCCATCGCAGTAGAAACAACGAACCTGTAAAGATGTATTAGGTAAGTTAATGGTAAAAGATAGACATAATATAGTGTAGCGGACTTTTTTATAGATCATTTAAAGGAAGAAAGGAGGAATCATTCTTTCATACATATTTTTTGGTTCTTGAATTGTGCAGGTACACATCCCACAAGATGAATCATTTTCCTGATTTAGCCAATTTCCCCAGATATTTTTGCCTTCCTCGATAAATGTTATAACCAACAAATATTTAATTCCCTGGTCCTGAGATTAGCACGTTTAACTAAACAAACAAACTCTTCAGCTTTATATATTAGAACGGATATTTATTTAATAGTTATATTTAACTATTTATAGTTATTTACAGAAAACAAGAGGTATGATTTGAATTATTCACATAAAATACTTTTATGTGGAACCTTGGTTAGTAATAATCAACTGTAAGGTCAGTTTACGATGTTCCAAGTATAAGCAAAATTTTAAAATCTTGAAGCAGAGATAATAACATGTCTTATATTTGAATAAAGTTAGTTTGTATGTAATAAAAAGTTATGGTATAAGAATTTGATGATATAAATATAAAAAAAAATAACCAACTTAAAACACATACTTTGATTTAATTAAATGAAATTATATAATACATATTTTTAAATGTAATTTCGAAGTCAGTGCCAAGTGTATGTTTCCACAAGTACAATATCAAATTACACACAATATTATAAAATATGTTAAAGCGATAACAAAACCATTAAAGTATGGCAATTGTCAAAAAATTTATATTCTTAAAATGGCAAATCTTTTATAAACTTTTTTTTATGGCGAAACTGAGTTACCAATCTTTGCGCTTAGCACAATATGTCCTGTATTCGAATGTCAATGAGATGATTAAGAGTTTCAAGGCAGACAATAGTATGGACAATGTTGCGCATGAGCTGCAGTTGAACGGACATTTTATAATATAAATATATATTTTATAAGCTACGCACCTGATCTTCTAAACCCGTATAGAAAAAACCTGCTTCAGCAAGTGATTGAGGTGCCTGTGGTCTATCATAAGGCCATCGGTTGAATGTGGACAACCTTGCAAATAAAGAAGCTTTAGCTGGATGTCTTGCGCCGCCACTAACTACTCCAAGGTCGCGCCATGTACTGCCAGCCGCTACCACTTGCTCGTTGTGCTCTGTTCCACTTCTACAAAGAATTCAAAGCTGTATGAAATCTATGATGCTGTTGAGATTTAAATCTGTGCAAATAAGTTATAATCTCACACTTATGTGCACTAAAATCTAATGTGATATTATAGATTACATGATAACACAAATATGATTAATAACTTCTTTAAAGCTGTTTATGGTATGACCAAGAAATTAAATGAATTGAAATTTGAGCAATTTCCTACAGAACATCTTGCAAATACTAGGAGTGACATAAAACTTTTATTTTATTTTTCTTGCTCAAATAGTATAATGATATTATAAAAGCAAAATATTACGTTTGTGTTGTGTTGATAGCAACGCAAGGTGTTGTTGTCGTAGACTGCACATTATTTGGTGTAAAATCTAGTATGTATCCTTGAACATTTTCCCCTTGGCTTATTGAGTCATATTCTTCTATTCTGCGATTTCTTTGTCTTTCTCTGTCGTATGGAGTAGTATTTTCAACAGCAAACTCACACATTGGAAAATACCTAAAATATTAATGTTAATGTATAAGCAGAATATTGACAAATAGAATCATCCAAAATCTACAGATTGTAATTCAGTTCTGTTGTAATATCAGTATGTATTGATTGATTTCAAAATGTACATAGCAAAAATAGGTTGACCGCACATCTTGTTTAGATGTTATATGGCCGGGGTATATCACCTATAAAGGTAGGTGAACAAGTGAACACCAAGCTTGTCTGTCCACTATCATAAAAAAAACTTAATGTGATTATTAAATTGAATTACTACCTTGGATAAGTAAGGAAAAAATACTGGTAGCAAAATTATCTAAAAATTGTCTATAAAAATAATAAACAAACCATTCATTGCTGACCTTATTTAAGGTCTACTGTAGTTTAAGGAAAATTTTATAAGCAATATTATGAGTTTTTACCAAATAGGTAAATGACTCAATGTCTTATATGAACCAACTTGAAATTGAAATGGTAGTAACCTTATATGTATCTCAAGAGCTGAGCCCAATGATCCTAGATTTCTGTGAGGAGCCAACTCCCCTCCGCACCATGCACACCTCAACCTACCTCCACCAGCATGGTAAAAACCAGCATTCACTAACGCTTCTCGGGAAATAGATGTATCCTGGACCAATGCAAAACATCTTACTTAACCAAATATAGAATTAAGCTAAATAGATTGGCATTTAATTTAATTTATTATAATAAAATAGTCTTGCTACCATAAAGATATGATTTATATAACTTACATTCCAATTTACATAAGATAGTAATCTTAGCGCATCACTTCTATACATCAAATCTTCTTGTGTCAATCCATATCTCACAGGTGTTACTGTTCCATCAACAGTATTGTCTGATGAAGCATTTGTGTCGGAATTGTTTACACAACTTTGGCCATCAACAGAAGGAACATTACCAGACAATTGGGGCGTAGCTACAAACGAACAGTTTGGTCTCAGCAACCGATGTCTCCACATCACTTGATCGCCGTAACTCCAGTCTGATATTTTTCCTCCACAACTAAAGCATTCAACCTCGGTTTCATTGCCCGTGTAGAAAAAACCAGCCTTCGCAATTCGTATGGGATCAACCGGAGCTGAAGTTGGCCAGTCAGAAAATGTATTCAACCTATTGACTTCAATATTCATATTCTTCAATTATTTACCTGTAAAGGCAGAATGATCCTAAAAATGTTGGTGTCACTATTAGTTCAGCTAGTAAGTGCAGGACAGGGTTAAGATGCGAAACAATTGCCCAATAAAGGGGGAAGACCCACCGTCAAGAGTCTCAATCGATTATAATCATTGATAATTAATGTTTTTAATAGTATATAAATTAAATATGTATTTACAATGTATTATTGTTTGACACAACCCGTAAAGTTCACAGATGTAGAACTGTACAATAATGTAAATGTCAAATCATATTTAATAGCACAGATTATACAAAAACAAAACGAGAAATAAGGTTATACAAAATTTATTTTGTTATCGTACTTTTATTTTTGATGAGCTTACTTATCGTGGTAGTTTTCCCACCCAAATCAACACCATGTATAATTATTTATCTAAGCTTAAAAGAATCCATTGGTATTAGACGTACTGTGATAAATATAATTTTGTAATAATAATATATATACAGTAGATAATAAAAGAGAGTATATGACCAACTACGACCTATTCTTTAGTTATTGCATGGTAAAGTGTATATTATGATGTCTAATATATTAAGTGTATATTATGAAATGAAATATAATATAAATAATATTTTGTTAACCTCGTTTCTTATATCGATACTCTGTGGCAATAGGGTTGAACTAGTCCTACTATAGCTGCGGCTCAAAGTTGTTATCTGACACTTTGCCGTCGTGCGCGGATTTGTATATTATTTACTTGTATAATAATTAGTTCAATTTACATTTTTCTCTCATTAAGCGGGTTACCGTTGTATTACACATTAGTACAATATTACTGGTGCTTTATTTATTATCTGGGAAAATGCTGATTTTATTCGGTATCATCATCGCTAGTATAAGTATTTTTATACTTTTTCTGTATTATTCTTTAGATAAGAAAATAAGTTATAAAGATTTAAATAGAAAGCACGTCGTGATTACCGGTGGATCAAGTGGAATCGGAAAAGCGGTTGCAATAGAGGCAGCTGAATTAGGTGCAAGTGTTACAATTATTGGCCGTGATAAAAATAAACTTCAATCAGTTGTCGACGAGATAAAAAGCCGGCACACTATTCATTCCTACCAAAAAATTCAATATGCGTCGTTGGATGTCACTTCTGACTATAAATCTATAGAAAAGTGTTTCACTGAACTTGAAGAATACATAGGCCCCATATTTATGCTAATCAATTGTGCTGGTATGTGCATATGTGGTCAATTTGAGAATATGAATGTAGATGATATAAAGCAAATGATTGACTTGAATTACTTTGGTACTGCATACCCCACACGTTACGTTTTACCAGGGATGAAGAAACGAAATGAGGGAATAATTGTTTTTGTTTCAACAGAAGCAGCTTTGTTTGGTATGTATAGACAAGTGAGAGTGTATCATAATATATAGATAGTTCACAGATCTTCCAGGAATATATATTTATCATTTTTATTTTACGGGACAACTTGTATTATTGTTTACAACTGTGTTAATCAAGATGCATACTTTTTAGTGTCTAAGTAAAAAGACTTTTAATAAATAATTTCATAGGAAACAGTATTTAGTGTTTGCGTAAAAACTAATTGTAAAATATGTTTTTAGGTATCTATGGCTACAGTGCCTATGGTGCTGCTAAATGGGCTGTTCGTGGATTAGCTGAGTCCGTGTTCATGGAATTAGTAGGCACAAATGTTAGGCTTACTTTAGCCTTTCCGCCTGATACTGACACCCCTGGCTTTAAACAAGAAGAACTAACAAAACCTAAGGAAACCAAACTGATATCTGGTTCAGGTGGCTTGCATTCACCTACCACAGTTGGGAAAAAAATGATTGCAGATGCAATGGTATGTATACCTTTCTATTAAAAATCAACTAATAGTTTGTTATTGTAAAGCTGTATATTTTTAAAATGCTATATTTTTGTGACCAGTTCTTTTGTACCACAATAAATGGTTTAAAAAGTTACATTATTACCATTTACTATGTGTGAACTAATACAATATGTTTTACATGGTAATTTTTATTTTTCAGAAAGGAAAATCATACTCTGTTTTTGGATTAACCGGACATATTTTGTCATTGATGTATTGCGGGACAATAGACAGTATCAGTCAAGTGTTATTGCAAATAGTAACACTAGGTTTTATAAGGGCTATCATCATTTTAATTGTTCTGTCGTTTCACAAAATTGTTAGGGATGGCCTTAAAGAAAAAGCCTCTAAGAAACATTCAGAAAAAGATGATTGATGTCTCTAGTAATAAATTTTTGAGAATAGAGTAATAAACAGCAGTGCTGTATTAGTCCTTAAAGCTAGCAAAAAATACCAAGAAGCATTTCCACATTCCTTACAAAGAGTATTTATTGTCATCGAAAATTCCACTCTCTGCCAAAATTCATTAATTAATTTGTAAAAAAAATATGCAAACGTCAAATAACTACTAGTGTATTATCTTAACTTAATGTCACAAATCAATCTAGGCAATTGACAATGGTTGTTATTTTTTAATAATATTATCGTAATCTTTGTCTTGAGACATAAATAGCATAATACGTCATGTGAGGAAAAAAGTGTCCATGAAAAAAGTGGAATATTCCTACTTTTTGTGCATTTTTATTTAAGCATTTCTGTAGTAATAAGTGTTATATTATAATAAAACCACAAATATTTTTAAGCTACAAGTAAATGGTAAACAGAAGATATTAATAAGAACTTAGAAATTTTGCTATATGACTTGTTTCGTTTTATTATAAAATGTCAAATAAAAGTATTTTATTTAAAACAGCTCATGTTTGTCTCTACTACCAGTGAAAAACATCAGAAAGAATATGATTTCAAACCCTACTGCACACAATATAAAAAGACTGTGACCAATAACTTATCATGGGAGAAAATAAAAATATCTAAATAAAACCTTTTTAACTCTTTAATCCGCGAATCTTTTATTAAATTTTTGAACAAACTAAACCACGTGACCATAGGTGCTGTCAAGCATCCGAAATGTCGGGCCGCAGTTATTGATTAATAACAATATATTTCGCGTTTTACATCGTTTAAAGTTGAAAACTTTATTATTTTTTACATGTTATTGCACATGAAGGCACTAACAGTGCCAGTACATGTAAAAAATAAAGTTTTCAATCATTTAAATGTCAGTACTACTGGCGTAAACTGCAGACATCACTTAGTTAGAAATACATATTTCGATCTGAAAATATATTAGAAAATATTCAGAATTATGAAATGCTCGTAAGTGCGATTTCATGGGTTTCCATTTTAAATTTAATTGGCTCGTTAATGGAAATTCCTTGAAGGGCAATTAACAACCCAAAATTATCAATTTAATTGCAAGGCATCTTAAAATAATTATTTTATTCAGGATTACTAACAAAAATACATATTCTCTCATTAGAACACGAATTCTGCTGATAACTTAACTTGAAGCCGCGACCCGTATAAACGCTGTCCGTTCGAAACCAAATAACGATTGGACCGACACCATCGTCTGGAAAAGATGAAATTTGCATATAAATGTTGATATTTTTACAAACGATATCATATACACATAGTTATTAGTCAACGTTTAATAAAACACTTTAACGGTTTAAAACGCGATATAGGTATATTAGTTAAACTTTTATGAAAATTATTTTAATACGGCCCGATGTTTCGGATGCTTCGCAGCAGCCGTGGTCACGGGGAGACTATCAAATAAGTTTGACTAATATATCGCGTTTAACTAATATAAACCGTTAAAGTGTTTTATTTAAATGTGTACTACTCGCGTAAACAGTATTACAGCGCGTATGTACATACTGGCTATATTATTAGTCAATTTTATCATAGTTACATACATTTGGAAAGAAAATTGAACAGTGTCTAACATTGGATTGTTAATAATAAGTATAATGACTCATTTGGGATATTTAAATACAACCGTAAAAGATGACTAATATGTTTGGATACAATAAGACAAAAATATTATTCCTGTCCAGGTTTCCCTTTTTGAGTGAATCACGCTACCCTGCAAAACAGTATTGGACTATTATACGCTCCAATATGTCAGGTGCACTTATACAATTTTTTTGACATGAATTCGCTTTGATAGATTCTGGCCTTCGTAAAAACTGTGATGTAAATATCGTTTTGAGACAAACCAGCATGTCCTTTAGCCATCAATTCTACATTTAGCTTCTGCACAAATCCATTTGGCCAGCGTGGTAAATTTATGACTTACAGGAAAAACGAGGCCAGTAGTGGGAACTCTCAAAGGCTCTACTCACTATACTCACCTACTACCGGGGCGTCTAAAGAAAAGTCCTGTATAGTTGAACCGTCGTTGAGGCGGTCTCCACAAAGCCGAACTGCTGCAATTAGCAGCCAATCCGATGGACAGTTATATATTTCTACCCCTGCCTGCCGTGGCGGTATTATGGGTAGATTGTCTGTTGATATTATATCAGCGATAAAATGCTAAATCTAATATGATTACAGTTTACAAAAAATTGATTACAATAAGTCTTTAAAGCCCTAAGCAGCGGATTGAGAAAATTAGAGCTAAATAAGCCTACAAATTTGTCCAAGAACAATATATATTATCACAAACATTTTTTTATAGTTGACGTAACTGGCTGCGCATACAAACGTGTAACTATAATTCTGCAGTGTTTCCTCATAAGTACAGCAATCATTTAATTTCATAATAGTACATATTATATAAAGATATAATCAAGAAATTATTGTACCATTGTTTTTTAAATGATACCAAAAATATACCCAGAACAATTAATGTACAATGATAAGTAAGACACTTAAATAAATTAATGTTCCAAATCTGCTGGTTTTAAAAATTTGTTTGTTATTCACTTCAATAAAAATATATGAGAGGAAAAGTTTATTTAAAAGATCGTTAATTTTGTATTGTAAAATTATAATATGTTGGTTTAGTTGTGAGAGAACACGATGAAGGGTCATTATGCTGCTACCGAACTACTGGATAGAATCCGATAAGGCGAAATATTAGTAGGGTATCCTCAATATGTTTAAGTAGTACCAGCCCAGAGAGTGGATTTAGGAGGTGTCACCAGCTCACCGTCTTGCTGAGCACGTTAGTTTGGTCCCGGTCATTATCTATCTATACTTAATATTTAAAGCTGAAGAGTTTGTTTGTTTGTATGTTTGAAAGCGCTAATATTTAGAACCACCGGTTGGAATTGAAAAATGATTTTTGTGTTGACTAGAGTATTTATCGAAAAAGGGTATAAAATATTGTGCTATAACTAATGAAGGAAACAAAAGGAAATATGAAAATAACGGGGAAAATTATTTATCTTTGTGGGCTTTCGATGCATACGCTGCGAAAACAGTTTAAGACACCCAAAAAATATCTATGGAAGAATTATTTGTTTTTGAAATGATGAAAAAAAATGTCCGCGACACTATATGTCTATGTTTTAGCCGCGAATGACGTCGTGGGCAACAGCTTAAATTTATAAAGATGAAAAGGAGGTTTGCAAAACCAAATTTGGATTTGGTCTCTCACAATAATTTCGTGGCGGTAGTCGTTAAATGCCAGCTGGACAAACCTATATGGTAGCAGCTTGTTCGTGTCATATATGTCTAGCTGTCAGACAATAATAAGTTGAAACAATCATACCAAACATATTTTTATGAAAACATACCAAAATCGAAGTTAACAATCTGCATGGACCCAACATTCGTATATGTAGTACTGCATGCATCTGGCGACCGTTGTATGCATATTGCATAGTTTAGATTATTCTGAAAAATAAGCAGTAATGTTTCTTTGAACGCAAAATGAACCTTACTAAAACAAAGATAATATCTTACCAAATAACTAGAAGTCTTTCCGAACACAATTTCAGATGTATCCCGATAGTTAAATGATTCCAAATATCCTTGCGGTTTTAAATGATATTGAAGACATCCTGTAGGTGCTGCTAAAGGATGGGTAGATCGAAGCTGAGTCACCTTAAAACGCTATTAATTATTATATGTATTTACATACTTAAGATAAAATGGTAAAATAACCGTGACCACGGCTGCTGCAAAGCATTCAGCAGTAGTGAACAATTTTTTCAATAAGTTAAGAATATATCACGTTTAAAACCGTTATTGAGAAACATGTACATTGTATTACAATATAATTAATGTTAGACAAGCCACTAACAATAGATATTCTCTACGTATTTCTTTGTTTTAGCCAGTAGGTAAGGTTGGGTTCATTTATTACGTACCTATAGGCATACCTAGTTCCCGAGTGAGTCAAAACTCAGAATAACATGTTTTTAATTAAACAAAGACGTATTTACCTTTGTCTTATTATGTTTCTTAATGTAACAAAGTTTACCAAATACAAGGAAAACAATGGTAACAGTTATTATAGTCGTGGACTTGCCAAGTAGGTTTCATGGATTCTTCAAAATGTTTAATGTTTATTGTAGGAAAATGTAGTCTACATAAATATATTTAAATAACAGTGTGCAAGTTTTCGAAAATATTATCTTTGAGCAGACAGAAGTACGACGCACTTATTTCAATAGACGTTAAAGAACCTTTGCCCACAATTTTATAACATAAATATCATAATATTCCGTAAATACGAAGTAGCTAGCACATACTTAAAAATAATATGCGAATTATCGTAATTAGAATCTGCTTTTTTTACGATAATTCGGATAGCAATTTATTAATTTTAATTATACATTTGTGATTTCTATTTGTTGTTATAAAATATATCTATTTAATGTAAAAATCAATCGTTTCATATTAAAATATATTTTGGGTGAAATAGTGCGCACATAATGTGGACCCGGCCTTCTATGGTGTCCCCCAAAGAAAATACATATTACATGTATTAGTAAAAACAAGTTTTTCCTGCCTTGCAAATTTAATTAATTTTGTGTTTGCTATAATTGTATTTCTCTTAGTGATATACATCGAAACCCCGAGTTTCAACCTCTTCGCAGTAAATGCTGTTGATGACAGTATAGACATGAACATTGTATGCCAAGAATTGAAATGGAATTTAAAATAAATTACCTTTATAGCAAAGAGGCGATTGTCAGTGGTTACAGTTTGAATGGAAATATTAATTGGACCGACTGCATTACCAACTTCAATGTAAACTGAAAAAAAAAGATGCATACAATCTCTCGATTAATGCTATACAATATGTACTAGCAAAATGTTACTACCATGTTGTCCAGTGTTGATTCCACATAAAATCGGTATTATGTTGTTTATGTTTTGTCCTGTAATTATAAATTGATCTCGCTCGCAGTTGCCAAAGGTTGGTGGCAGCATCTAGGTGAAGAAAACATTGACTGATCTGAAGTATTTGGCAATAATTACTGTTTATACAAAAAAATCTCATATGTAGAAAAAACTAGGTATTCGAACAAATTTCCTGGTTGGGGCCTTAATACTTAATTTATACGATGTGTTGTGCGTATATACGCACAACACATCGATATGATACACGTAAGATATAACACGGAGAAAATTTTATTAAATCGTTTTTAATAATTAAAAAACAGTACTACAGCCAGACTTTGGTTAATGCCAGCAATGTCCTTGATAAACATACAACGAACATTTAAAACGACTTTCATAATGCCTATCCAGACTTTTTACGCAGTATACAAAAATGTCCAGTCCAGTGCTCAATGACTTATGAATTCTTAATTATGATCTTATATAGTTTACCTCAAAACTAAGAAAATCAAGCCGAATCTGTTTAACATCAGGCCACACTTTGTCAAAGGTAACTGTGCAGGATAACCTTTCGTAACTGGGTAAAGGGAACCCATCATTTGTAAACCAACCCGTAGGTGTTGCAGATCTGGTATCGCAAGTGAATTGTACTGAAAAAAAAAATGTTTTAGAGCGTTTTTTTTTATCTAAATCACAATCGTCTCTGTTAACTACTTCAATTACTTTACTAGTTGTAAAGAAGTCATATAATAAAAGTAAATAGTCTTAAATACTGTTTGTTGTTTACGCGAGTACTACCCATTTAAGTAAAACACTGTACCTAACGGTTTAAAATGCGAGATGAATGAAAATTATTTTAACTACAAGCTTAATAACTGCAAAGCATCCGAAACGTCGGGCCGTAGTTAAAAATAATTTTTAAACAAGTTTAACTAAAATATATCGCGTTTTAAACCGTTAAAGTGTAAATAATCTTAATAATGTTGTTAATGAACATACTTGATTACCACCGGTTCTTGTGGGTTAGTCTTAAAAGATAAACATATATGTTAATGACGTGAACATTCTTGTAGATTATTTAAAGAAAAATATTTATTTATAGATTTAAGATTTTTTAATTTTCAACCAAGTAGTTCCTAAGATTAGGGAATTCAAACAAACAAACTCTTCAGCTTCATAATATTAGTAAGATTCGTATGTATTTGCCTTTCACAGTACTTATTAATTGATAGCGATGGTTATGGGTGGATATACTATGTCTATCATCGCAGTCGGACTATTACTATTACTATACTACTACTATTACTTTTAAAAATTAAATATACAGTACCGATACAGCAAGTCCCGAAACCGTCAGCACAGATTCCCATAGATTTACCCCCATTTTTACGGCAGTCAAATTCATGGACACATGTTCCGTCTAATCCGCTAGAAGATTTACAAGGCAGATGGTCGAACTCAACCACCTCAAAGACCTCCAAAAATCTTCCATAAGAAGTCCTGTTTTCTTTAGTTCCAGAATTTTTTACCCTCTTACGTTGTACACATCTTCGCAAATTATTCTTTTGTCTCTGGTTTTTTAAACTGGTGTATTGAGAATAGTTTTCCTTTCCAAAATCTTCTGGTAAACTATTACCTTTACTCACAGCATTTATATTATTATCTGCACTTATTTTTTGCGAGTAGTAGTGTCCTCCATCACTGATGTATTCTGGTGTGGTAATCATTGAAGCATTATACTGCGGATAAATGGTTGATTCTTGTTTAATTTTGTCTCTGGACCACGGATTAGCTAAATACCACCGAGCACTGTTTGAGAAGAAAGGCAAGAGTATAAAAATCACTTTCTTCATTATTTAAAATAAATGAAACTTTAAATTTAATTAAAATGTAACCACAACTACTCCAAGACACATACTAATATGAGATGCCTAGTTGTCATTTTCTTGGTAATAATAGACTCGCTCCTGGCTTAGACTAATTAAGTCTAGAAATCGTTATGGTTTAGTTATATTTGTCCTACTTTTACACTATTATCGTTACTAAGACGATAATTTTAACGGAACGGAAAATTTTAATTCTGCGATTATTATCTAACTAGCTATGTCAGCGTCTTCGTTCGCGTAGAAATCTTTATAAATTTAAGGTGTTAGCCAAGACATCCGTCGCGGTCCGTTGTTCTTGCAAGTTAAACTGAAAGATCATACACATTTTTTTGGTATTTTAAACAAAGATGAACAATTTTTCGCGTTTTTTTTTTCACATTTCCCGCTGTTTTTTCGCCCCTCTTAACCATAGCGTTATTATTGTATATCCTATAGCCTACCGCGATAAATGCTCCAAACAACACGAAAAGAACTTTTCAATTCGAACCTCAAATTCGTTCGTTACTGAGATTAGCGCGTTTAAACAAACAAACAAACTCTTCAGATATTAGTAGAGATTATCAACGAAATGTCCCTTTCATTTATGTAAAATTTGTATGATGTTATGTTCATTCTAAGAGAAATAAAATAGAATATTCCTTTTTTCATTATTGAAACATATTTCACAGTTATGATAAAAATTCCCAATTGCCAAACCTACGGTTTATAATTAAGACGGTAAAATAAATTAAGTACTCCTGTTAACCTTTAAGTTTTCTATTATAAAGGTCCGCCATTTCAACAAATTATCATTTATACATAATATGTATGTCATACTGTTATCTATAATGCGAGCAAATGCCGTTTTGTCTTGACCTAATGAATGCGTTGTCCTCGCCCTACCGCACCTGGGCTTTTTCCAAAGCTCTCGCATACAATGTTTTCTGTCACACAATATATTACATACAATCAAGTTATCATATATTCTAGTTATTAATATATGGGTTAGACACGACTATAAAAGCCTAACACTTCTAGCTAGAAGTCATATCACTTCAAAGCTTTGAAGGGACACATTTGTACACAAACAACAACAAAATGTTAACTAAGGTAAGGACATTTTTATTTTAGAAAATTTTTAAGCTAAATAATGACTCATAAGTTTAATTGCTATCACAAATAACAAACAATACATTTATATAATGTATCAAAAAATTGTTTAGGCCATATATTTGGGCTTATATAAATGATAAGCAATTAATACTATCTTGCGAAGCTTTTTTTTTCAGTCTCCTCATAAGTCCGTACCGATAAATTGATGTATTGTAAATAAAAAGGCCTTAGGATTTACACAAATTAGACGCCCGACGTGGGCGTGCATTAGGCATTCACACCATCTGTAAAAAGAAAACCTATAGACAAATACAAGCAGCATTTAGTATAACACGACATATATTTTCAGGTACTTTTCGCCGTGTGCTTGGTAGCTACAGTAAAAGCTGGAGGTCTCCTTGCGCCATCTGTATATAACGCACCCTACGGCTATGGAGGATGGAACCCATACAACTCCTACCCAGCCCAGCCTGCCATCGCCACACAACATTCCAACATTTTGAGATCACCTTTCAATTTGGGCCAGGTATAATGCAGAAGATTATGAGTATTGTTAATCAAATTTACCAATGTATATTCCGCCCTTATCAGTTGTTGCTTATCGTTGAAAACAATTGTAACTCTGGTAGTCCCCAGGATTTCTAATGTGCATCAAGAGAACTACGTGTCATTTTAATTTTTAGTGTATATTTTAATTTCTGCTAACACGATTCTCTCAGGCGCTATAAAATTCAAAATCTAAATAAATAACGCTCATTTTATGGTCATTTTGTTTTGTCAGGTTTCAACTTATTCTAAGGCTATAGATACGCCATTTTCGAGTGTACGCAAAGCTGACATTCGAGTCAGCAACCCTGGCTTAGCTGTTGCACCAGCATATCAGAGCTATGGTGCACCCGTTGTATCCCACATTGCTGCCCCCGTTGCAACCGCTAGAGTGAGCTTTTTTGTTTAATATGATCTCGTCAGAAGTGCTTATATTGATGTCTTGATTGCCTTAATTCGCCTTTGCTGTGCTGACATTGTTAGAGTCATGACGACAAAGACTGGTGTAAAGTATCACAATGTTGCATTACGTTAGGTAAGTTTATGATAAACTAACTGGTGGCCCCGACTTCGTCTACGCAAAATGTGTATTTGGAGTAGCTTATATTAGCGTAGCGTAGAAAAGAACTAACATTATGACATAAATATGTGTAACTAACGTTTATGGCAGTGCACGCCAGAATAGCTCGCAGAAAGGTAGGTTTTTTCCTAGTTACTTGAAACTTAATGCCATATTTTGCACAGCTTACACAATATCTTTATAAATTGTAGCCTATGTGTTATTCTGATGTATAAGCTATATTATTGGAAAGTTTAATTGAAATCCATTCAGTAGTGTTTGCGTGAAAGAGTAACAAACATCCATCCACAAATACAAACTTTCACGTTTATAATATTAGTAGGATGTCAGTTTAAACCTTTTAATAGCTACACCTACTTATATTTTGTACAATGGCGTAGCTATCGTAAGTCGCGGTGCCCTCGAACCCATTTTTGAAAAGATAGGCGTAATAAAGAAATAGAGATTTTTTTTAGTTTTAACGTCATGATTAGTAGATATAATACACTGTATTATATTATTTGCTATGGTAAGAAAGAGGAAAAATGTACGTTAAAATTTTATATCAAAAGCTTTTTTTTTTATTTCAGGTGGCTGGTGGTCTTTTAGGTGTTGCATATTCAGCTGCGCCTGCGGTTTCCCATATGACTTACACCAATGGACTGGGTCTGGCCTACGCTTGGTAATTGGAATGAAAACATAAAGTTAAAATTAGTTCCTAGATTGTAAATAAACTGCATAAGATTCCTCATTATTTATTACCTGGTAGTAGCTATCTATTGTCAATAAGAGTTATTTATTGTTTTATAAAATAAAGAGTAATAAAAATCCGTTATTTCATTTAAAAACACATATACACCAATACATTTAATCTTGAACACTTAGTAATAAATAAACATATTTATTCTGGAATAAGAGATTCACAATTTGGATTTCAGCGATAATAATTATTACCTATTTTATTTAATAGGTCTTTCCTAATTTGAATCTGTGGCTATCGACAGAGTTTTTATTGAATTAAATGACTGAAATACAAGGCATTTGGATAGTGTTTTTGGTAATGTTGCCTTTAATTATCTATTTCCAAAACTTGGACAGCTTTAAAAAAAAACTAATTCATTTTAGGCGTGATTTTTACTAATAAAAACTTCTTAAACTGTAAATAATACAACCTTAAAACCTTTAATCATAGTTGCGTTTAATATTTTTAATTGGATAGGTTTATTATTTTTTGACTATTTGGCATTTGGTAATATATTGGCAAAATCCTTATTTGTACTATGGCAACACTATTCACAAGGATTTTGTCAGTTTTTCAGTTCCCTGCCGCTGTGTTTGCAATTTAATTTTTGTTGTTACTATAATTTTACAAAAATCAATTTGTTTTATGTGTTATTTCGTGTCATAGCATTGATTCGTTTAGTGTATTTTTATTAAAGACTTTTGAATCCGTCGTTGCGTTGTTTAAGTTAGAACAACTTATTGATACATCAAGATACCGTCTTGATTTCATCTAGTGTTGGTTTTATTTTGTCTATATTTTAGGGTATATTACTTGAATTCTACTAAATCTCGTTATATTATCTCCTGTAGATCTTTTTAAACCTAACTCTTTCCACCACATTGATTTTTTATTTCAGGTTATTATCGACCTGTCAAGAGGACATTTTTTCGTCAAGCTGTCTTCGCAAATTCGCAAAATAGGAGACGATAATCCGTTCAAGTTTACCAATTTCTTGTCTAATCTACCACCGATTGTAAGTAGCTGCTTTTATTTACTAGATACTACTTTAAAACTCACAATAACAGTTATAAACATGTGTATACATTTTTGCCAAGATATTACTATAATAATTATTTATGTCAGAACAGTAATTGTTTATCTCCACATTCTATTTTAATACTCTGTAAATATTATATTGGATAACTGCTCTTAAAAATTTAAAGTGAGATAAAATAATATTTAATAGAAGTCTTCTTAACTGTCATTTTAGTTTAAGTACCCTATCCAAGTCATAATTACTAAGAATACTTTGTATTCAATCTGATACTTTGTCATCTATAGCAAGATTATAGTGCTTAGTTAGCTTAAATGTTGCTTAAGCAATATCTACATGTTACATTATGCACCATCAGTTAATATTGATGTTTGTTTACTTTTGCCAAGTCAAGTTTTAGCATGGTGTAATAGTTGTTTGTGAAATTTAGTCATTTTTAAAATGTAAGATGAATACTGAAACATATGGGATTTAACCTACATTTATGTGAGCTTTTACTGTACCTGAACTTGTAGGTGTAGAGGAGTTGTGACCTTGGAAGTTGAAGTTATAAAGAAGATAGAATAAATAAAAATAATAATATATTATCTTCAACATCACTGTGATTAGACATGTGTATTGATATTTAGGGTGGTAGAGCAATGCCGCGATGCAGCAAACGCACACGCGGCGCAGCAGCTGATCTGCTGCCTGGTACCACCTCACTCGAAGACCATCACCACCACAAAAGATCTAGAAATACAAGGTTTGTATTAGAAATAAAAGCTAAATTATAGCTATGATTAAGGTTGAGTTAACAACAGGATTTTATTATATGAAAAATTTAAATATTGAGATTAGCATTAAGCTTTATTTTAGACCAAAGTAGACACAAAAATGAGCTACCATTGGCCTTCTTATATTACAAAAATCTTTTACTTAGAAAACTTTGTCACTAATTTTTCTTATTTTTGCCTATTACTTATGTTGGTATTTATGTTAATGTGAGTTTAAATTATTACAGTTCACGGCGACATTCCAAAGCAGAGGACACCAGTTTTAGTGCAAAGAAATGTATAGCCTGGTTTAAGGATTATACTTCAGTTACAGAGCCAGATGTACTAGGTTTGTAGTAGTTGTTAAGGTCATAAAAATTAGATCTTCGTCTTGATTGTATTAGGGTATAAGCACCTATATATAAAAAAGTAACGCTTTTGGTGATTAACCTACTTTATTTAATACAGCATATACTTTAAAATATTGTTAAATAACTAAGAAACAAATTTATCTGATTATACTTTTAGTTGTTAGTATGCTATAGCTATATTTAGTATGTTCCACCTGTAGGCTCTAGATTGGGATCATTTACAAAACTGTCTGATTAAGAGTTGCATTTCATGAAAATAATGTAATATTCTTTTCAGGACCGGAAGGTATGGAAAAGTTCTGTGAAGATATAGGTGTAGATCCAGAAAATGTGGTAATGCTGGTGATTGCATATAAGATGGGGGCGAAACAAATGGGCTATTTCACACAAGAGGAATGGTTAAAAGGTTATATAGCACAAAATTTTCAATATGGCCCGAAACTAAGAACTTTTAAAAGAATAAATTCCAATATATTTTATGTTCTATTCAGGTCTAACGGATCTCCAATGTGACAGTGCCCACAAATTGCAGAATAAATTAGAATACCTGCGTAGCTTACTCAATGACCCATATATGTTTAAGGCTATCTATAGATATTCATATGACTTTGCGAGGGTAAGTGTAATCTGTATTATATAAAGCATTCTTTGTTTTATTTATAATTAAATCCAAGGTCTGCGTCTGTGAGCGATGTTGCTTGCTGTTTCATATATTTAAAGCAAAATACTGAGATCAAAGAGGGGCTATATCTTGTATGAGTCATTTTAAGTATTCTCTCTGTAGTTTATATATGCGAATAGTACACATTTTAATAAAACACCTTTAAAACCATATAGTACACAGTCGTGGCACAATCCCTCTATGATTACAGTTGCTAAATGTTGCGTTGCTTTTAAAATAATTTAAAACATAAATTAACTGACACTTTTATTACCTACACAGGATAAGGATCAACGGTCACTCGACACGAGCACAGCGCGAGCCCTCCTCGGCGTGCTTCTGCCGCGCTGGCCTCTGAGGATACCGCTCTCAGACTTCCTTGGCAACGAGCGCCGGTACCGCGTGGTCAACCGCGACCAGTGGTGCAACATCCTCGAATTTAGTCGCACAGTTGATACTCAGCTCACTGCATACGATGCGGACGGAGCCTGTCAGTATTTAATTTAAAATAAAAAAATTGTCATATGTGTCAGACGTAGATGTCTGCAGCAAAAAATACTATTCCAATAATGATAATAGACCATTGCTCTAACCCGGCAGGGTTTTTCTAACAAGAGAGTAGGCCAAAATGAGTGGTAGATTGAACAAGCGAGCTAGTTAAGCAAAATCAAATGAACCCAACCATATAAAATCTAAGTCTATCGAAAACATAACATTGACAACATGTTAAATGCAAGCCATGTTCAATGTAAGATCTAAATGGGTGCCAAGTCCAACGGCGAGCCCTAGAATGTATTTATAGCAACAAAATATATTTATTTCTTATAACTTAAGATAATGTTGCTTATGGTCTGACTGCAAACTAGTCAACTTGGGTTTTAGTAAGCAACTGTTGTACTTGGTTTGATGGTCGTCCATGTCCAGGGTGCATTATATAGACCTATTTGCCATCTCATTATGGTGATTGCAAATTAGTCAGTGTATTTCACTGTTATTTACTTAGATTTGAAATGTATTGCAGGGCCTGTGATGTTAGATGAATTTGTCGAGTGGTTGAGAGCGGAACGGGGCGATTCAACAATGCATGCCAGCTGAGACTACACCACCAAGAGCGGTTCGTAGAGATTTAAATATCATATTTCATATTTTAAAATATATAATTTGTTAAGTAATTGTATTTAAGAAAGGATAAATTTTCAGGTTTAGGTGTGGCTTGCTCCAAAATGGTTCAGTGTGGGCCTGCCTTATAGGTATACGTGTCATGTATATTGTTCAGCTATATTTAAGTATATTATTGTGTTATACCACCCTTACATACCCTGCACTAGTAGTACTTTTGAATTGGTGCTGTTTGTATTTCATTTGATATATTGAGATGTTATTTGTTCTCAACAATAGTCAACTACCAATACTTGCGGCAAATTCCCCGTTTATTTAAGCGGTAATGATTCTAAATAACTAGAGACGTGGTGCAAAGTTCCTGTACGACGCCTATGTCTGTCACACGCAAACGTCAGGGTTTGAAAGAGACAAGAATAGCACATTTCATTTGAAGTGGCATAACTTTCAAATCGCTTACAACATTAGAGCACTTTACGGCACCAATTCGAATAGTACATTATTTTATATATTTAAGTTTTATTTTATTATAGCACACAATCTTTTCTACTGTTGCACATTGACACAAATTTTGTATTAGATAATTTATTTAATGTCGCCCACCGATCCATTGTTATTCTTCCAAATATTACACATTAGCATTACAATGATAATGTTTCGCTACCGAACCGTCTTTAAGTTGTTAATCGTAGAAGGATGTTGGCACAAAAATGACAGAAATATTGTGTTTTTTATTTTCCAAAACAAGAAAACGATTTTTTCATATGCCTATTAGCACAAAATAATTATGAGATTATAGATAAAACGATTGCAAGTAACTTTCTGTAACCTAGGTAACAGATTGTTGTTGCTGACATTTGTTCCAATGTCCTCAAAGATGAATTCAATTCCACAAGATACTTTTAAATTGGTGGTTAATATTGTTTCTGATGTTTGTAAAAGCTCCATCTCATCGAAGACAGTTTCATTAGAAGTTATTATTATTTGATGCATCCTATGTATAGTTATAAAGGAGGCCGTCGCGTAATAAGTTTTTGTCATGTATATATTTTTATAACAAATTAATAACTGGCCAAGTACTACTGCCAAGTTGGATAAATAATTTTGTACCAATGATTGCAGAATGTTTAGAACCATAATGTAAAATTTTAATTATAAATCAATCATGTCACATGCTCTAACATTCTGAAATTACTATGACCATTAATTGAAATGTTAATTTCAGAAATGAGAATTGAAGGAAGTAAATTTGAATATTACTGTAAAGTCGACTGATGCTTTTGAATTTGTGTTAATTTCAGAGACTCGTTTGCATTTTTATATATTCAAGATCATGATACCTATAGAACATATGTAATGACTTTGTATTCCTCAAATAATATTAGTACCTACTCTTATCTCAAGTCTGGTTTTTTAGTATTTCTATAATAGACACATGCATATTCAACACCATAGGTGTCATGATTTTGCCGTGCTCTGAAGTAAGTTCCAATAGACTAGAAGTCTAGTCTTATTAGGTTTAGGTGTAGATATCGTTTTGTATAAGCAAGTAGTTAGTATATTCAAATTCTCTGTGGGAAATAGCATCATTCTTTACGTAAGACAAAGGTGTAACAAAATTTATCTTAAAACTTTTAGGCCCCATACCAAATGTCATTCAAGGAAAAAACTCATTTCGAAATTATTTATTTGTTTTATTTATTAACTTTAACCTACAACACAGACTTCTCTTCAGAAATAATTAATGACACACATAAAGAAAACGAAGAAATCATATAAAAATGTTTATTTAGTATGTTTTGTGTGCTACAGTTTAATGATGGTACAAAAATAAGTGGAATGTAAAAAATGCACGTGGTAATATCCTTGCAAAAATGTTACATTCATGTACCAATAAGACAAAAAAATAGTAAAGTTAGTATCATGATTTTTAGTAGTTTTAAAAGTATACAATGCGTTTAGAATTATACACCTGTAAACACATATATTCAAAACCTGCGTAAGATATTTGTACACAAAGTACAATTGAGTTTTATAAACCCATACATATTAATAATATGAACTCAAATTATAATCAAAGCATTACTGCTTCTTAAAGCATTTAAGATCAAAACTCCATATCAGTCTGTAATACAAAGTTATGAAGCAATTCATACGCGCAGGCGCTATATACTATTAAAAGCGTTAGAAGCCGACTTGCGATCATATCTCGTCCTCTAAATCAAAGGATTCTTCTGGGAAGTTTCCAACAGTGACATAAACTGGTTTTACAAAACCTCCATACTTTGGTGGACACGTGAAGTATCTTTTGCCACTAACTCTGTAAAATAACATTGCAACATTAATAACAAAGACAAACTTCTGATTAAATAAATAAGACTAAAGTAATTGCCTCAAAGATATAATTTGTATATTAATTTAAAATTACTTACGATCCATCGTTTTTCCCTCTAGGCTCATCATATTGCACACCAATCCACAAGCCCTTAGCTCCTTCTAGTGGTCCATTGTACCTCACTGTGGCTCTTCGGGTGGGTTGTGATGGCACACGGACTTCACACCTAGCACCGACTAGAACTGCCTCTGCCAACCTGAACAAATAACATTGCACAATTTAATATCACTAACACCACTGGTACCAAATGTAAAAGTTACTGATTTTTTTTGGTTAGTACAATACAAAGTTTAACAGGGTTTAAGTAAAGGTATAGGGAAGGTAATCACTTTGTCGGAAGTAAACATAGTCATAAATACATTATTAAAAGTAATAGACGATAAAAAGAATGAAATATTAATATTTTCATACAAAAATCCACTCTTTAACTAACTTGGCTTCATCTTCCAGTTCCTTTTGCTGTTGTTCCTTCATCTTCTGCATTTCCTCTTCATTATATTTTCCCAGCTTATTTCTCTGAAGGAATGATCTCAATGTATCACTCTTTTTTTCATACTCTTCCTCAGAAAGCTTAAACCTATATTGATAAATTTTATGCGATAATCATGTACAAAACTAATTTAACTACATAGTAAAACAGGGCAATAAATCTTAGTTTACACATATATATTTTATATTAATTGTATGTTTGTTAGCCTGGAGGCCATTAAACCGGATATTTAGTTTATAAATACTTGGTTACTATTACTACTTGGTTATTATGAATAAGGTAACAGGTACTACTCAATTTGGCAAGTAAACAATAGTATAAAATTAAAACATTACCTTTCTGCACTGTCAGATTCATCAAAGTCTTTGATAAGAGCAAACTTATCAATAACATGAATCCTCATTCCATCATCAATGGGATAAGAACCAAGTAATGCTGCATCATCGTCCACATCACAAATAAAATTGTTTTTATTGTCATAAACTTTCAATTTCATAGTGCCTGCTGATCCTCCCGTGACCAGTTCTAATTTTGTCTAAAAAGGATAAAATTGACAGACTTATAATATAAGTACAACCCCGTTTCCTCTATGTGAGCATGAAACAGACACATTTTTGTGTCTGGTTGATGGATTAACTTTGTACCTGTAATATGTTTCTCCAGCTTTGGACTCAAGACCTCCCGTGCCTAACGCAATTGAAAACAACGGGTAGACTGTGTTACGCAGGCGGTCAGACAAACAAGAACTTATAAAGCACTTTCAAGTTCCTGAATATATATTTAAATACGGAATATTAGTAGAAACATTATAAAATTACCTTAAATTCCAACACAGTGATGGATTTGTTAAATCTACGCTCAATCGATGCGGCACCTTCATTTTCCGATTTTGTAATATGCACATTTATAAAATCTTGCGTTATGACTTGAACGCTTTCCATAATAAAGCAGTTTATAAAGAGAATTACTAGCAACTAGCGGCAACAAGGTTTATTATTGCGATAGTTTCAGTACATGTAAATAGTGTTTGCAATTTTTATTAATCATTCCTATAACTGTCATAATATGACAATGACATTAGACGATAATACAGTATTATCTGTTAAGCTATTAAATAGCTGTGTATACTTTAATAGAAAGCCTTTGTGCCTATGAGCGATTTTTTTAAAGGGCTCTAATCCTCAAAAAAACGACATAACATATTTATCTATTAAGATCAAACCGTTAGAACCTTAATTAACTAGTATAGTTACGTCGCTCGGTTTTTATAGAACACTAATTGTGTGCGAGATCTTATTGGGCTCCAAATTCGTATTTGCAACCCATTATAAATTAAGCTAAACCTACGCCGTCGGTCGCGTCCCTTTCTGTCGTTCTTGCAAGTTAATCATAAAAGATAGACATTTTTAAGATCATTTATAGGGAAATAATTGTTTCATACACAAATTTTAGGTATCTTGAACCGTTTTTGCAGCGTACGAGGCCTACTCTCGTAAACCCATAATGATGAATATTTTTTCCACTTTATTTGTTACAGGGTAATGTTTATAGCCTTTCTCGATAAATTTTCTAGACAACACGAGAATTTTTCAATTCGAACGCGTAATTCCTGAGATTAGCGCGTTCACACATACAAACTCTAGCTTGACATATGAGTATAGAAGTATAGATAGGCACTAACCCAGTGACATGACAAAAAGGGAAACACCGGACACTGATTCCACAATTATTATTAAACCGGGAGGGAATCGGGAATGGACCCTACAGATTCTTGGTGTTAACACAATCCTAGGTAACAAGTTTAACAATTGCCGATCGCAAAACATGGAAGGCATTTATATTATCCTTGATTAAAAATTGGTAGATCCAAGATAAATTAGCGGCAAAATTGGCTTAATATTTTTCAGGGCGCTAATGGTTGTACTACCACGGCGTTTGTTAAAACTTTAATGGTGTAATAAAATGATAACTCCCTTCTCAGGAAGTTTTTAAACGTGACATTTTAGAATTACTACAAACATTACTTAAATAAAACACTTTAACGGTTTAAAACGCGATATATTAGTTAAACTTATTTGAAAATTATTTTTAACTTCGGCCCGACGTTTCGGACACTTTGCAGCAGCCGTGGTCATGGGGAGACCGAAGTTAAAAATCATTTTCAAATAAGTTTAACTAATATATCGCGTTTTAAACCGTTAGTGTTTTATTTAATTGTGTACTACTCGCGTTAACTATAGACAGTATTTAACAAACGTTACTTTTAAGTTTTACTACAATCGGCTATACTCAATAATGGATAAAGGAAAGTGTAACAATTAAATACATATTTTGCATACTGAAATCCATTAAGTTATTTATGAGTCGCTGTTTGCTGAAAGACAAAGAAAAATATGTGCAAAGACACTTCGACGAAGCTGCGTGTATGCACCTGTTCTTGAAAACAAAAGGTCACTATGAATTTTGTGAATATTTTATTTAAGCACAAATTGACAAACATTTAATCATGCAATTTAAATTCTAACTACATTAATACGATGCCCGCTATATTAATATATATATATATAGTATATAATTATATTGTACACCGAAATTAATTTATCATTTAATTCTATTAAGGAAAAAATGTCAAAGCATATTGCTAAATAATTAATTGTATAAATGTATGCCACATAATTACAAAAATTAAAAATAAACTTCTCCTACCGACACCAAGATAATATAAACTTAAATATCAAATTTAATGATCAAAGTCATAGATATTGAATAGGTATTTACCTAAACTCTATAAATTTTAGGACAAGCCTATCAGTTAAAATACAAATGAAATTATCTTCGATGATAGATTTCCAATTATTCACTACGCACTATGTTATGTTATAGAAGGAAATTGAAAACAAGTATGAGTAGTCCGCACAATGTTCAAAGTAAATCTTCTGTTCCAGTGATGATTCGGGTGACACGAGCGTCGTCGAGGCCTTTGCACACATTGCTAGTGATATAAGAATTATGTCGAAATGGATATTCGCATAACTCCTCGCGCGCAAATTAAGTGAATCAAAATGCTACCTTCCATTTCAACACAATTTCGAAAATTATTTACGCCCGCCGACAACACAGCCCTAAGTGAGTCCATGGGTAAAATAAAAAGTGGCCTAAATATAATTAATAAATGTGACTCTGGTTAGTGTCGTACAAATTGTCAGCGCGCGCAATGGAATATTGTATCAACATAGCAACCGTACCTGACCCAGGTCGCTCGACTTGAGCGCCCAGGCGGGTTCCTCTTCACCGCCGCAGAAACAAAACACCAATAAGGCACTCGCTTTTTAATTCAATCGTATATTGTATAAAATTATCTTTGGCGTTATAAATCTGCTTTAAAATCTATTTAGCAGCTCACCAGTGCTACCAGGTCGAACGTTTTTAAACTATGAAGTGTCATTTAATGACGATCTTAAATTATTTCAATTTAAATAGAACATTGCAACAATAATTCACTGATATTCTCTTTTTATATCTACCCGAGATCCCGCGAAATAAAGAGCTGGCAACACTGCGTAGCTGTATGACAAAACCGGGCCCGTTCGCGTCACCCGAATCAATTCCACTGGAAATATCCAAACTTTATCCTCCGATGTCAGACATCACCCTCCTTATTTTCTACCGCTTCGTTTTCTGTTTTTCCTTCTATTGGCTCACTCGTTACATGTTGAAAGGGTTTTTCATTGAAAATGTCGTCATTTTTGTCGTTAGTCTCTGGTACGACAATTTCCTCGTTACGTGCTTCTATGTCTTTTTGTGCATTTGAAAAACTTGTATCTACAGAATCCGTTGTATCATAAAGATTAATGACGTCATTTTTATCTTGCACTAATTCACTATCACATATAATATTACTACTATAAGAATTTGTTTCCTCATCTTTAGACGCGTTGCTTTGAACATCATTGCAACCATTTGATATGGTTGTATCATTGTTTTGTCTAGTAGGCGCGTTGTTATCTACGTTACTATCATTATCTTCTGTGGAAATGACAGATGTTTCTATATCTTTTATTTCACTTGGTACGTCAATTGCTTCCTTTGAGGTACTCCTTTCATTTTCAGTTAACTGCTCAATCTGACTAGCTTCTACACTACTGCTTTGAGCATCTGCTTGTTCTTTTGTACTTTGTTCTGAAGTCTGATTTTCGGTTTCATCTGCGGCGCCCCACCTAGACTTTCTATCTTTATCTCTTCTAGAGGACCTATCTTCGCGTTGTTTTCCTCTATCGTCATGATTTCTTCGTCTATCATTTCTTTCCCTAAACCTATCTTCATTATCAGGATTACCTGTACTTCTTCTATCTCTTCTTCTGTCATCCCAATCGTTCCTTCTATCCCATTCTCTATCTCGGTCTCTATTCCAGCTCCGATCAAATTGTTCTCTGTCATCGAATCTCCTATTTCTATCAAAGAATTCGGGAGGACCATCAAATCTAGGTCCATCGAAAGGCCTGTCTCCTTCGAATCCGTCATATGGTCTGGGACCATCAAATGGTGGCCGAGGTCCGTCAAACGGTGGCCTTGGTCCATTAAAGGGTGGCCTAGGACCATCAAGAAGTGGTCTAGAACCTTCAAAGTGGGGACGAGGGCCATCAAAGCGTGGCCGGGGACCGTCGAAAGGTGGGCGCGGCCCATCAAAATGCGGTCTGGGTCCATCGAAGGGAGGTCGTGATTTTGGACCGTCAAAGTGCGGCCGTGGTCCATCGAGCAAGGGCCTTGGGCCGTCAAATGGTGGTCTTGGACCATCAAATGGCGGCCTAGGACCGTCGAAGGGAGGTCGTGGCCCATCGAATGGCGGTCTCATACCATCAAACGGTGGTCTAGGCCCATCAAAAGGCATGCGATTGAATGGAGGTCTTTCGAACATAGGTCCGGGTCCTCCCTCGAATGAAGGTCGATTGAATGGAGGGCCCATGTTAAACCTGGGTCCGAAAGTAGGCTGACCTCCAGAAACATTAGGTCCCGTTTCCATCCAAGGTCCTGAAATTATATAATGTAAATGGTTATGTTACGATAAAACTATTATTTTGCTATTTAAGACTGGATTAAAGGGTATATTTTACTTAAATACAATAATAATGAATTTCCTAATTCAGTTTAAAAAAGCTTTGTGAAAGAGTATTTCCATACCTCTCACTGGCGGTCTGAGCGGAGGACCCCTCATTCTTAGTTCTGCAAATTAAATTGCTTACGTGTTTAATCGTATCTGAATATTTCTACTCTCTACTATATATATATTGGTAAACGCCAAATGCACTACGTACTTAGCAAAAGAATAAAAAATAAATGTTTATTGCATAACAAATTATAAAAACATGAGCCAAATGCGTTAAGCTGACTTTCATTGTTTATTAAGAAGCTCACTAACACATTAATTTTTTGCGAAAACTTGGGCCCCCGCTTAAGCAATGTTCAATTCAACATTCAATTCAAAGTCAAGATAGATCGAGAGCGCATTTGTTTAAATGTAATATTCTTATTTTAATGACACTATTCCTCGTGATTATGACTTGACGTTTAGCGCGCAAATTATTTTTTTTTCCAAAAAATGAACGTTCTGTTCCTGGTCCATTAACAACAGAAGGAAAATATTTGCAAGCCAAAAACATATAGTAATCTAATATAAATACAAACTTACCAGCTCTAAAAACTGGCGCCATTTGTCTTGGTGGAGGCAGTTGTGTCCAGCCTCCTTCGTTGTCATCTGCATTCTCCCCTCCTGAAACGTTACACGTACATTCCTACTTACAAACGGAAATACAACACAAAAGTAATAAGTACATATTTTTTTAATAAAAAGCTTTTATGGTTTAGTAAATATAATAAGTACAACACATAATGTCGTGTAAAAAACAAAGTTGTTTTAATTTTTTTTCTTAAGTCGAATTAGACTATGTATTTGTTTAATTATAAGAAAACTAACTTTCGTCAAGCTGATGAGTTTGTTTGATTGTTTGAACACTAATTACAGGAATTACTGGTTCAAATTGAAAAATTCTTTGTATTGGGTAGAGAGAGCATTTATCGAGAAAGGCAAAAGGCATAACATACGCGATGTGACTAATAGCAGCGAAGAAACAGCGGGTGATGCAAAAAAGGCGGGGATAAGTATTCATCATTATGGGTTTCCGAGGCGTACGCTGCAAGACCGGTTCAGAATACCAACAAAATATGTATGAAAGAATTAATCCTCTTTAAATGATCTAAAAAAGTTCGCGACGCTTTGTCTCTCTTTTAAGATTAACTTGCAAGAAAGACGGGAAGGGACGCGACCGAAGTAGTAGGTGACAGTTTAAGTTTATAAAGATGAAGGGGTTTGCAAAAACGAATTGGGATGGCCAAAATAAAGTTTCTCGCGGACGAAGTCGCTGACACAGCTAGTAAGGTATATTTTTTTAATGACACAGCAGAACAGATAAGCGGTTCACCTGTTCCAAGGTAAAATACCCAATTTGGGCCATTTATCATGTAAGCAATGCCTGTAGATCTATTTTAGCCGTTCGGTTTCATTAATTGCAGTGTTATAAATGTACAGATACACTTTATAAATAGATATTTTTAATTCAGCAGTGCTTACCTAGCTGTTACCCTTTCTGTTGTACAATAAACTAAGTATGAATATAATATGTATATGTTTATAATATCACGAGGTCAGTTTTTTGGCCATATTCCTCCTTTTTTATGAAGTTTGAAACACGAAATTTATACAAGTCTACTTAGCGTCATGTTAAGATAAACGTTAAATAATTACTCGTCTGCTTCGTCGTAAGTAGTTAAGCAAAAGATACAATTATTATCGTGAAATTGTAAAATGAAAGACTACACTTACCCTCCGATGTCTGATGATTATCTGAAGGGCGATCAAGTAGTGGGTTGTCCCCAGCGACCGCAGGGGCGTTGGCATCTCCCCCCTCTCCTTTATCTTGCTTTCCGCCGCCATTCGCCATCTCCCACAAGCGTTCTTGCAGACTCTTCTCGTTCTGTTCGTTGCGCGGTGATTTCTCGCGATTCCTATCTCTATAAAAAAATAACAGTAGGTAATTTCAATTAGATATAAAACTTCGTTATTTAAGAAATACAGTCGAATGATGTTTGTATATATAGTCGGTTTCATCTTACTTGGCAAAAGACCACAACAAATATGGCCGATTTCAAACCAGAGAGAACTAGATTGTAGTCTTTTATATACACTTTTATAGGGTGTAGTTGATGCCACAGGCGGGAAAAAGAATCGTCAATTATATACATATAGAAGAATGATCTCAATATTAAAAAATACTGTTATAGCAATATAGTTTTTATTTTTCCCCTATTAACCCTAAACTACAATTAATATTATAAACACAACTAAAACTTAAAAAGAAAACCTTTTGTGTTTATAATATTATTAACGATTGATATTTAAAAACGTGGAATGGAATAGATTTTAACAAAACTTTACTAATATTATCATATATTAAGTTGGTAAATATAATTGCAAAATTGTCTCATCATTCGTTTCGTAGCTTTTTTAAATGTGGTACGTAACGGGTATTTATTGTTGCTTTTTTAAAAACGAAAACTTGTCTTACCTTTGGATTCTGATTTGCTTACAAATTTCAAGAAGGTCAAAGTTGTGGAAACGGTTGGATATTTATTTTTTTAATTTTAATAACTTGAGGTAGGTGACGAAAATACAATAAATTACATAAAATTAAAGAATCTTACATTTATATTCTAGTATGAGTAGTAGTCCTGAACCTATTGCCGAACCAAGTTATGGAGCCACAAGAGAAATTTTAATGTCTCCATTAAAAAAGAGAGCTAGGATTCACATGACTGCCAGTAAAAAAACTATAACTTTAAACCTATATAAACATCTTACAAGGTCTTCAGAATTATATCCTAGTAAAGGAACGATTATTAAAAAAACAGCAGAAATTATTGGGATCTCGGTTATAACTGTCTAGCCCATTGTTCACGAATATAAATATAAAGTTAAAAAAAAATAAATAATCAAATGGCCGAAGAAAAAAGACGTTATTAAGTATTACGTCTTCCGACGTACCACTGCGAAATTAATCCTATTGAACTCATTTGGGCCAATTTGAAATCTTATGTTGGGAGACACAATAAAAGTTTCAAAATTAGTGAAATTAAAAATCTAATTAAAGAAGGCATAAAACGAATGGAAGCGGACACGTGGCAAAAATCGATAAAACATGAAAAAAGAAGAAAAAAAATGATGAAATTAGAAGGGGTTATGGATGCAGGATCCGACAACCTTAAATTTATTATGCATGTCTCCGAGAAATCAAGTAATGATAGTGAGGAAAACAATTAAATCTGTACTTAATTCATTGTTGTCTTATGTCTCAATAAACAATTAATAACACCTTGTTACTTTTATTTTTTTTTTTTTATTTTTAATAAGTTACGATTTAATGCGCGATCGTAATCGCGATCGTGAGTTCGATTTCTCGCTTCTATTATCGTTGACTTTGCTTACGTCGCGTCCTTACGTAAATGTCAAACTTAAGAAATTTTAATCTGTGCATTTTTGTAAACACATTTTTAGGATTTCTATTAATTTTAGCATGAAATTGTAGTTTTACTAAGTGAATTTGAGGTAGTTCTTTAGTTAAATATAAAATCCTGTGTCTCGAAGTGTTTTTAGTGTAAATCAATGTAAAGATTGTGAGAAAATCACGATTTCATGAACATGGTGTGTTTGTATAACAAAAATGGACTATAGACTTCATACTCACGGGTTGTTCTCTCTGTTGAAACGGTCGCGCTCCCCCCCTATCTCTGTCTCTGTCACGATTTCTATCTCGGTCTCTGCGTTCTCTGCCTCGATCCCTGTCCCGATCGCGCTCTCTGTGATCATCGCGCTCCCTGTTCCTAATGAATTTTACATTCGCTTTAATCCCGTTTCGTGTTTATAGTATTATAATTTGAATGTTTAAATTTAAATTAAAACTAAAATGAATACAATCCCAAATAATATTTACAGGCTCGTTGATCGTAATGGTAGCAGTGTATGGTTTGTAATCAACGAGTCGCGGGGTCGACCCCTGCCGAGTCCAACATATTTCTAACCAATTTATATTTTTCTAAAACATGTTAGACTTCCGTTAGACAATTCAGTCCGGTCACAAACAACCGTCCACAGAACAAAGCCGTCAAGTTTACTTTTATAAACGCCTCTGATTTATCACAACAATGTCATATTTACCAGTGTCAGTGAAAAATTCTATAGTAACGTAGTTATATATGATTTTTTTTGTAAAAAAAATTTATTTAATATCCATTTAGACTTAATAATAAATATGACACATGCTGGAAATATGATTTGATATCAAAATATTTTTAATTTGTATAATGTCGTCTTGTGCAATTGAACAATCACAAGTTCTCAAATGCAATGTTTTATTTTTTTATTTTGATCGGTTAATCCGGGAATTATACTTATGATGGAACTGGCGGTATCTAAGGGTAAAAACTTACCCATCTCTATCCCGCATATCCCTTCTATCTCCATCTCGGCGATCACGCCGTTCTCTTTCCCTTCCGTCTCTACCCTCCCGCCTGTCTCTGTCCCCGCGGTCCCGGCGCTCCCTGTCTCGATCTCTGTCTCGCCTGTCCCGGTCGCGTCTGTCGTCTTCCCGTTTTTCCTCAGGAGGTGGCTGGCTGGTGTCGAACCCGTCAGGATTGAATCCGGGTGGTGGTTCAAAACTTTTGAACGCTGGCGGCGGCTTGGACATAAGTGCTTGCAACTGTCAAAAAAATATATAACTTTCTTTTTTTCTTTACAAACATAATCAAGCACGTAGGGATTGTAACAAAAAATTGACAATAAAAGGGGTGGCGGCGAGTTTCTTGCCAGTTCTCGTTCGTTCAACACTTGGGAACTGGTAGTAACTGTATATTTTAGGTTTCAATTTTTTTTCTGGTTGACATTCATAAGTGTAATAAGCTACGTACAGTAATAAATGTTTTTTTTTACTAATACAAAACTGAAGTCAAATTATTAGTAACACAACTAACACACATTAGATTTAAGAAATGGATCGACGTTCTGACTAATAAATAATAATTATTATTAGTACCTAAATATATCATTTCTCACATACAACGTCATTTAACCAGGTTCAAAAAGTTCCATTAACAGAGGTAATGCAATGATTAAGAACCAGGATATCACAGAAACTCTCAATAATAGACGTCTCCCGTATCCAGGTCACATTTACTTAACCAGGTTTCACTGTATAAGATTAATACGATACGTAAAATCAATATCGTTGGTTTTTTTTCTTGATTACTTGACTTCGTGTTTGTAAAAGACGTGACTTAATGAATGTTTATTGAAATACGGTTAACACGCTGTGTCTCTAGTTGAATAAAATATTACCTGATCAGGAAGCATGTTCGAGGGCGCAGAGTCCATATGAGTATTGTCGTTATGAGTCACATCTGTTTGCTCTTCGGTATCGAGTTCCATGGCATCATCGGCACCGCTCACCTCAGAGTTTTGGTGCAGCTGCTGTTGTTGCTGTTCAAATGCATAATGATATGTATAGTTGAATAAACTCGACGCTAGTTAGCTAGCTATTAATGAAACTAACTATGCAATTAGTAAAAGATGGGTTCAAATCTTGTTTTTGTTTTAAATGAATTCAACAAATTCGGCATTGGTCTGTGATAATAGCTCAATTGGCAGAGCAGCACTCCAAAGCTCTGTGGTCGTAGATTCAAACTAATACTACGTAAATAATAAAGTTTCATGTGCTAACAGTATTTCTTTTATTTACAGACAAGCACGTGTTTCACTGGTAGTTGAAATACACCAGTAATATAACATCTAAATAAGATGCCCTGTCAACCTAATTTGGCTTTACATATTTGAATTTTTGCAGCATCGTTTGTATTGTAGTGATTAAAAGGTACGTAAGTATGTATTAATTAATTTTTCTTTCCACAAAATCTTGTCATAAAACCTACCTGAGCTTGCACGTGTGGTTGTGGTGGCTGAACATTGAGTTGCGCATGGGGATGAGCGTGTAATGGCAACACTAGACCGCCCATACCCATCAGACCTCCAAGGAAACTGCCCACCATACCTGAACATATATTTGAAAGTTGTAAAGAAACACACAGATATTAAGTAAAAACATAGTTGTTTTACAAACTTAATGTGCCACACTTACGTCGGTAGAATTTATAACGCATGTATATATGGTAGTTATTTTCAATATTAAAAATATCTAATGGTGAAGTGTTTGGTGTGCTAATCAAATTATAGAATAAAATCAATTACATTTTATATACCATTACTGAATTAGAAGAATAAAAATGTTTTTGTTTTTAGAAGTCAATAAACTATTTAGTTATTGTGTAATGTAAAAACAATTTTTAATGATTATAATTTGAATGAAATTTAAGATTAAAAGTGTTATTGATTCTGTGCCGAAATATATACACATATAATAAGAATAATTACCGGTTCGTGTTAAAGTGTGTGGTGGTGGAAAACCTAATAGTGCACCACTCGTGCTTAGCGACCCATCTTGCACTCCTGTTTCAAAATTACAAATATAATCTGTATGAAAATGTATATTCCTTTGCACCAACAAGGATAGATTCTTCAACTTAGAATAGGAGTTAAATTAATGAATCACTTTTTAAATTACCTGGCATTGCCGCTGGCATCGGCGGTCTCATGCCTGGTGGCATCCCCGGGGGCAATCCTGTTGGTAGACCAGGTCCCATACTGCAAAAGTTTAAATAGAAGAATCTCTTTTACAGACATGTTATAATGTGTACATCAGAATGCTAAAAGTTATGTTAACAAAAGATCAGTGTCCTTTTATATAACAGAAACCAGTTGTCCCTTACAAATAAGCAAATCTGTAATTTTATGAGAACACATGTATATTAGTAATCATTTGATAATTGTTAAAAACACATTTGCAAAATTATTGACAAATTATCTAAACATGTTTAAAATTATATTCAAAATTAGCTTGTAGAGTTGGGATAATTTTTAAATAATGTTTGATATAAATATATAAATTAACTTACCCAGGGGGTGGCATTCTAGGCACAGGTAAAGGAATGCTTGCTGGTGGCGGTCCCGCCATGCCCATACTCGTTGGAGGCATATTGGGTATGTTGGCCATAGTAGCCAAGTTTGGCATATTTGATAAGTTTGCTAAATTGGGCAGATTGGTAATATTGGCTGGTAACCCAGGTATTCCACCAGGCCCAGACATGAGGATTCCTCCCGGCCCAGATACTGGAGGCAGTCCGCCCAACATTGGTATATCTGGCAACGTTTTTGGTATCAGCTGAAACAAAAACTTTAATTCTTCACCTTGTAAACAAAATAGTTCTATAATAATAATAGTTTTTCTGCATTCGCACATAATTGGTGATCATGACATGATAATTAATAGTGGTGGTAATCCCTCACCCTGGGTGGAAGCCACGGCGGCAGAGTCTCTTCATCCACGGCGCCACCTTCTTCGAGCGCATCAAGCGAAAGCGCTCCCAGCACCCAGCGAGCGTGTAACGCGGTCCATGGCAGATAGGCCACGCCCAATTCCGCCTCCCAATAGTCTTTCCATTCGCGTCCTTTCACACCTTTACCCGCTGCCCACGCCACCTGATTTAAACAAAATACAGTTTAAAATGTATTTATCAAGTATGCCTAAATCAACTGAGATACAACTGCAGGTTTTATAATAGCACTAGCACTGGCCTACACAAGACGAGAATCGAACGACTAGCGTCTCGCTAAGCTACCGTGTTCCAATAATGTACTGTTATTTTAAAACTTTTCTAGCCTCTTGTTTTTTCTTATTTCATTTACATTTGTACTTACCGTGATTTCCTTAGTATGTAATTTGTGCCTATCAAGTTTCTGTTTCGCGCGAGCCGCGTCCCTCCGACGTTCCATAACAACGAAGGCGCAACCGCGAGGTGGCACCAAATCCACGGAGACGAGACCACCGAAACCGCCGAACAAGTCTGACAATTCTTCTTGAGTAGCCAACTTTGACAGATGACCCACCCACAGTGTTGTACTGCAAACTTTAAACGGAAGAAAACGTGTCTAAAATTCTATAGAAAAAAAAACATTTTACCTATCTTACAATTTATGTCTCCACATACAATGGTCAAAAGTGCACGCGAGAAGAACAAGCACGAGAGATCAGGGGGTTTGAATCCCAGTAAAATAAAAAAGTTTTGGTTGCAGAAATTTGATCAACAACTTACTTAAAAAACTACAATGGTAAATGGCATCTACACATTTTTAATTGGACTATGACATTTACTATTAAATATGTAGATAATAAATGGGCAACTGGTATATGTCAGTAGGAAGACACACAAGATTAAACCAAAATACAAAAGAATTAATTATTCACCACTCAAATTTTCCTTCTTTATTGGTGGTAATCCCTTTTTTTCTCTTTCTCTTTGCTTCTCCTTTTCAGCTTCTCTTTCTTTGTGACTTTTCTCTTTATCCTTTTCCCTGAAAGTATGATGTCCCATTTAGTATGATTTATATAAATTTGTTGTGAATACAAAACATGGCTGACTATAGTATAGTACATATAAAGAAGTTTCAAATAACTTCTATCAATGGATTTAGTAAACACTCCAATTTAAATTCGCACCTACCTCCTATGCTTTTATAGTATTGGGAAAACCTTACCTGTCTCTATCCCTGTCCCTGTCCCGGTCTCTTCTTCGCCTAGGCGAGCGTGAACGCGATCTCGATCGTCTCCTTCTTCGTGGCGAGCGAGATCGACGCCGAGATTTCGGTGACGGACTTCTAAAATAGTTATTCATATTATTAATCAGGGTATAGTTACTGTTGACCGTGTGACTTTTGTAAGCACTAAAATTATTTCTTTTTATGTTTTTTTTTGTAAAGGTATTTTGTACCTTATTAATAAAAAAAACTCAATTTACAAATAACTCAGAAATACAAGTCTCACCTAGAATCATTAGCATCTGGTATTTCAATAACTTGAGGGCCGGCATCAACAAATTCTATATCTGACTCATTAGCCATGTCATCCTTAGGTTCAGGGGGCATTGGTGGTTCATTTTGAGAAGTCTAAAAAAAAAATATGACAAATAAATTGTAGCAAGTTATATTGTTTTTAAGCCCGTTTATAAATGATAAAATACTCACAAGAAATGGGAGACCAGGGTTTGTATTTTGCTGCAACTGCATGTCATTCATCATTGGCATTAAATTCTGTGAAACATTAATATTTGTAAATCAGCTTTTATGCAAAGTCATTAGCCTCATTTATTATGTATTTTTTTTATCTGTTTACTTACAGGTATATTCTGCATACCAGCAACTAACTGCATTTGGGCTTGTAAACTTTGTAACTGCCTCATAATTTCTGGATTGGTTAAAATACTGAAAAATAATTGAAGGTGATTTTCTATGTCCTAAATGAGCAAAGTTTTCTTCGTATTTCTTTAAAATTTGATTTCAAATATTACCTTCCAAGAGCATCAGCAGGGTTGTGACTTTGAGGTTGAGTATTTTGCATATGCTGAACATGTTGCACATTATTTTGGGAGCTTTGAGGATGGACTGGGTTGTGCTGCGGAGGCGGTGAAGGGTCACCGCCTGGTGTATCATCTCCACTCTCATACTCAAAATCATTGAGCAATTTCCGATTAAACTTTGCAGGAGGTGGCCCTGATGAATCATCCTGGAACTAAGAACAGATGTTTTAATTTCCAGTGTTTCCAATGTTGTTAATTAATTAGTAGGCTTAAGGCTGTTAAATAGTGAACTTTTTTACAAAAAAGAACATATATCTGGTCCATTAAATAATGCCTGTATAAATCAAAAATTATAATAATATATTCTTCTAGTATACTTTTATTATAATCCTTTAAACAGTTTGTATTCTATACCTGATCTCCACCCATTGGCGATGAAGCATGAGGTGTGTGCTGTGATGCAGGACCTGGAGATATTTTATTGTCTGAGACATTGTGTGAAATATTTAATGAACTCCCTGAAATTATAATACCAAATTACAACTCATATTGGTTAACTGGTGCCAACCTTGGAAGAAACTGCAGCCTTCAAAATTAAATTAAAAACAAATTAGATATCTAATAACCCTTTTTTAAGTAAACATAATAATCCACTACTTCACAGATATTTATAGGTATTATATTTCAGTCTACTATAACCTTAATGTAGATAATATCATCATTACCATTAGCAGTATTATTTTGCTGCTGCTGAATTTCCAGGTGCAAGGGGTGGTTAGGGTCTGCCATGTCCAAGAGTGGCTGAATGACTTCAGGACTAAATACATTGTTCTTTTGCCAGAGGTTTAGTACTCTAATTATATTTCGCTGTAATAGAAAATATTCACCAAATAAATAACTTATTATACAACTAGTCAAATTATAATACGAGACTCGTTAAAACTTATCTCTGTCTTAGAATATAATATTGTATATTTAAGTAATCAGAATGTATGTATAATATAACCTACACATTACAAATTTATATAACTAACCTTATCTTCAGGAGGGCATCTGAATAAATTTGCGAAGGTTTGTTGCATATTTTTAGCGAACCTGGGCGCAAATACATCCTTATCTTGTCCAAATTGATGCCGTGACTGTCTCACAATTGAATCTATCACGTATAAGCCCGGAACTTTGTATTCTGGTTTGCACTTTTGTATAAACTTTTCAACACTATGTACAACGTGCTTGTAAAACTTTATCGCCTTTATAGCACCTCTAGTTATAGCACTCATTTTTGCCTTTGATATGGGGGGCTTATTTTCGTATAACCCGGATAACTGTAACAAGAATTATTGTGAGAAAGATGCTAAGGGAAACGTAGGTTTCGGAACCATTCTCAAGCTTTTACCTCCGCGTTAAACGCTTTCACTTCTGGCTTATCCATATTTGGTTTATAACTTGATTTTATTTCATATAATTAAATTAACTATTACAATTATCTATCGGAAAGAAAATCATTTTTGAAAGCACATCAACATGCTCGAGACAAAATGGCGTAAATAATTTTGCCAGTTGCCAGTTGTAGCATGTTATTTGCCAGAACGTCACTAAATCACTATGACAATTCACAGATTATTAAAATATTTCCATTTTTCCAACCATAGCCAGTCTATGGATATAAATGTATAAATTAATTAAGGGATTAAAAGTAATTATTTTACAATTAACAATGTTGTTAATACATAAAGATTGATCTCAAATTATAATATATTTCTTCAAAAGCAAAAGTATACAAAATCGTTTTTATCTCTTATATGTAAAACAATTCCGAGCTATGGATTATTATATATCATTTTAACCTAATATAGTAATTATACTAATGTCCTACAGCAGTCCTATGTCTACTCTGTGCTTCTATGCTCTACGCGGTTAAAATTTGACAGAAGTTTTTTTAATTTCTTAGTACTACATTTTTGTTTTAGTAAGATATAAATTCTATTAAAATGAGTGATGAATACGCCGCAGTTAAACGTGGAAAATTAGTTCTCAAGGGGGATAAACCAAAGTAAATTTTAATTAACACTGTCTATCTGCCTACGTAATGTACTATAAACTTTTTAACTTATTTACAGTATACAATATTATTTTTTTATAGAGCTAAGAAGCGTAAACACAAAAAAAAGGAGAGCGATAGTAATTCCAAAATCGATGAGGATTGCGTTAAACATGGCAATTGGTGGAAGGTGGAAAAGATAGAAGATTTAACAGGGCCGATATCAATTGAGTTTGGTAACCACACATATATATCCGCCTTAGACAACGGTTTATTCACATTAGGAGCGCCACACAATGAGGGAGATGGTCCTTCACCTGAAGAGATTTTTACTGCGTTTCCCGCAGGTGACACTAAATTTGCACTTAAATCAGGATATGGAAAATTCCTTGGTATATCAAAGGAAGGAGTGGTGACTGGTAGATCAGATGCTGTAGGACCTATGGAACAATGGGAACCTATTTGGCAAGATGGTAGTAACCCTATTTTTTAAATAACCTTGTTATCAAATTATTGCAACTAAGATACGGGGTGAACATACTACTGTGTTCATTTCCCTTTGTGTAGCCAGCACTCCATTTTACTTAATTTAATTTACTTTAAATGATATGTTCTTATATAACTGACATCAAATATTTAATATAAATTTTTTAAATAATATTTCTATTTGTAGGAAAAACTGCAATTTTATGTTCTCTCAATAAGTTTGTTTCTGTGAATCCTGAGGATGATTCTATTGTAGCTAAGAATGTATCAGCAGGAAACGAAGAGTTCTGTAATATACGGTGTAATAGAAGTAGAGATATAAAAAGAGTGGTTATACCTGAAGAGGAAGGTGACTTGGCTGAAGTTGAAGTAAACTATGTGTATGTTAATTTTTTTTTATTTTGCCATTTATGTTTCTACAATTACTTTTATGATAACTTATTGGTCTTTATAATTTTAAGGAAAAAGTTCCAAAAGTTCCAAGATAAGAAGCTGCGAGTCAATGAATCAGGGGTGATTGAATTAAAAAGAGCTAAAGTGGATGGAAACCTCCATGAAACATTGCTAGACCGACGAAGTAAAATGAAAGCTGACAGATATTGTAAATAATTGTAAGACTAATGATATTATTTAGAAAATAAGGTGACTACACATTTATGGCTTGTTTTATGAGACTCACAAATGATCAATACACTATTTAGGTATTTAATTTTATTAAAATAGTAAAAGTAAACTAAAACTTCCTTCTTTAACCTTATTAAAACTTCCTTCGCTTCAAAATCTCTGGTCGCCAGTTTATTGGGTGTGTTTCTTCAGAAGCTGTGTCGTCTTCCTTGTAAATTTTTATTGTTTTGTCAGCTTCAGTTGTAATAAGACGAGACCCTGACTGGTCAAATGTCATAGCAAATATGCCAGCTTCAGAATCCATAGAACCAGGTTGTACTGCAGACTAAAAAAATATAACCCATATAAAATAACTAGTTATTGCTGGTCAAATCCTTATTCTACTTTTATCTTTTCATGAAAATAGGGGTACACGCAAATGAAATAAAAATGATTGAATTTTTTCAGTAGCATGGCATACAGGAAAACTTTTTGCTAGAAAAACTTAATAAAAAAAAAATTAAAGTTAAAACTCATGAGGTTGTAGTTATAAGTTTTTTGTTGTTTATGTTTTAAACTGTTATTTAATAAAACAATCCATTTTAAAAATACCTAATATCTAATACTGCACTTTAGTAAATAAAGTTTGATGGAAACAAGATACTAGAGTAAATAGATAAAATAATAGCTACTAACTTGTAATCTCTGGAAGTTGTATCCTGTTCTCCAATCCCACAGATACATGGTACCGTTATCACCCCCACTTACTAATACTCCTTCTGGATTGACTGCCATACAATTTACAATTGCATTGTGCCCTGATAGATTCTGTATGAACTTCCCTTCTGGGCATTTCCATTGCTTGATGTTGTCTGGTGAAGCAGACGCAAAGGTGTACAGTGTAGGGTGTAAAACAATAGAACGGACAGACTTTTTGTGGTTCGTGAGAGTGCAAAGCGACTTTCCAGCAGCAAGGTCCCAAAGTCGGATTGTTGAGTCATGTGAACCAGTTATAATCTGAAATGATTTTTATTTCAATATAACAAGACTACATATTTTAACATTTAGCTGAAGAGTTTGTTTGTACGTTTGAATGTGCTAATCTCGGGAACACAAAAAATTATTTTTGTGTTGGTTAGAGTATTTATCGATGACTGACATAGGTTTAAACTTCGTCCTGTAACTTATACAAGTGAAGATACAGCATGAAATGTAAAAAAAAGAAAATTATTCATCATTGAGTTTTGGAGGCATACGCTGCAAAAACCCAAAATATATGTATGAAGGAATAAGTGATGATGTCTTTAAATTTTCTTTTTTTAAATTTAAAGACATCATCACTTTCATCATCATCATGTCTTTAAATGATCTAAAAAAAGTCTGCAATGCTATATGTCTATCTTTTAGGATTAACTTGCAAGAACGGAGGTAAAGGACGCAACCGACGTCGTAGTAACAGGTAACGGGTAACAGCCTAAATTTATAACGATAAAGGGGGTTTTCAAAAACGAATTTGGATGCCCAAAATAACGATTCTCGCGGAAGACGACGCTGATACACCTAGTATTATAATAATATCCCAAACTCAACATACTGTCCACCTCATTACTGACAAAATACTAACCTGTGGTTCAGCCGCCTGACAAACCAAAGATGCAACTGTATCCGTGTGCCCTGTTAGTGTATGCACGTTAGCCTTAGTGCGCATGTCCCATACACGAGCTGTGCCATCCCGCCCAGCTGACACAAGTACATCAATGGTCGGATGCAAAGATAGTGTGTACACAGCGGATAGATGACCGTGATAGTGACGAATTACCTAAAGAGAGTATATATAATCAAAATTTTACTTAGTTTTACCAATCAAAAATATATTTAGAACACTTTACATACCTTATTGTATTCTAGATCCCAACATTTAACTTGCCTATCTTCACCACAGCTGAACAAGTATGGATGCCTTCCAGATACTTCTAGACCTAAAAAAAAATTGTATAATGACCAAAGTTTATCGTTGTAATCTATTTGTGTCAACAGACACTACAAACCTCTAACTGTACTGACATGCCCAGTCAGGGACACTTTCAATTTCCCACTTGCTAGGTCCCAAATCTTAATTACTCTGTCTGCAGCTCCTAAAAAAACAAACAATATGTATTAGAGTATTTATTATATCTTTTACTTTAAACAATGCAACGTTTCTTTAACATATTTCTCAGAATAAAATTATACCTGTAGCAAACCATTCATTTCCTGGTTCAACAGCAACACATCTTACCCACCCTAAATGGCCAGATATAACCCTGAACAGTTTCCATGGTGCATGCCATTTTGGCCTAGGCATCACTGGAGCTTTGCGAGGTAAGGGAGTAATGGCAGTGCTAGATGGAGCTGCTGGTCCAGTGTATGGTAGCATCGCACCATCAGATGCAATTGCTGCTGACTCAGCAATTTCTGTTAAGACAATATATTATGTCTTAGTAACAAATATGAATAAATTTTATTTGGAACTCAACATAATCAAATTTTAGTGATACAAGAGTTTTATGTGTAGTACAGAGGTCGAAAACATTTAATCTGACTATACCTGTATCAAGTGGAGTTTCTGGTCGAGTCATAGCTTCTCTCTCTTTAATAGCTTGTGCCTTTTGCACAGCTGACATGACTAAACCATAGCTGTCCCTGGATTTAGTAGCTTTTAATATTTTCTCTCTAGAATAGCAACAGATACAATAAATAATTTATTTAATACCAAATTGTGTTGGTCAATATAACATTTTTTATTATCTATTATCAATATTTGGTAATGAAAATAACATAGATAAAAATCTGATCTTAAAAAAAATGACTACTTACGCTGTTTCATCTATTGGTGGAAGTACTCCTTGGTTCGATAGAAACATATCATGAGATCTTTTTAAAGATCTGAATACTAACGTATGCACAGAATGTTTAATAACATCGTCACTCATCTTTGTAGTTATCGTGTAATAGTATTGATTAAAAGACCCTTTTTTAACTATTCTCACTATAGCTTAATACGTCTTAATCAGCATGTATCAATAATTATAATACACATATTTATCATAATTATAAAAGTCTGTTTATAATGCAATTCAATTGTTTGTTATAAAATATAAATATGTAGTTTGTGGTTATGTTTGTTAGCATTGCCATATTCTCATTTCTCATTAAAATTTAATGGCTTGGTAACCAGGCCTTTAAGCCAAATCTTATTATAAAAAAATAGGTTTGTGAGTTTTCCCACCATTCCCGTTGCAGAAATAGACAAGAATACTATTTTTTTAGGAATAAATATATTTTTTTAAGTTATAGTAACGAGGATCACAGATCAACAGAAACTACAGAGCGTCAAAATTGAAAAAAAGCCGACGTCATTGTTTGCGGCAATATTGTCTACAAAGTTTTAACTTACAACTTTGACAACAGCAGCCTAAGTGGTATTATATGGAAAAAAAATCCTTTTTCACTACCTTTCCACGGCGAAGCCCAGGTGTTTCTCTTCAGTGTTTTCAAACCAACAACCTTTTATAAAAAGCGTAAAGATGACAGTGCTTTTGGCAACTAAGGCAAAGAGACCGCCTATTAAATTTTTGTTTCCGGTATGGCCGTTTTTAACTAGAAAAAGTTAATAAAAAAGTACATAGTACCAACTTGCATACAAAGTCACTATTTTTATTCATTATTTTTAACTGTCACAGTATCATAAAATGCAAAATTAAAACTTTGTATAAACGATAAACAATGCTTCCTTAGTGGGTAGATTTTATATTATACTACTATCACTTATCTCTAGAAACTCTCTGAAGTAAATCAACATAAATAAAATTATGAATGTAAACAAATAAAAATCCTTATAATACTATAAACTGCAAAATAAATAAACTATTAATAAGTGTGACTAGAGTAGCTAGACTAGCAGTGAATATCTAGAACATTAGACAATTATTTTAATCTTAAACTATAAATTAACCGACATTTTAATTCTTATTTTTCGTCTCGAAATATTACGTTTTATAAAATACATGCTTAAATAAAAACGTTTGGTAAAATTGGTAATATAGCAAGTTGTTAGTGGTAAAGCATTTGTCAAAATTATTTTATACGATCAACGTTTAGCATTATATAAACAAAATTAGACCAGTCTATCGACATTCGAATCGGTTATCGACCATTCATAATCGATATCAGTTGAATCGGCGACGGAAAATACCGCGCCATTCTCGGTTCAGATGGCCGACTTTTCTGGATTATTTGCATCACTAACGCGGCGGGAGTGTGGAGCTCTCCTTAGGGTCCGGGGCTGAAGATTTAACGGCGGCAAATTTGGTCTTTCGATCCTTGTGGGCGACGATACTAGCGGTCTATTTCCTCTACGAAGCGTTTCCATTCCATTCCTGAAATACTCCTCAGTACGGTCTGAGTAGCTTTCGATTAATGGAGCCGGGTCTTCATACTCGACGTTGTAATGTCGAGTGATAGCAAGGTCTTCGGGGGGTCCCAGTTTGTAAAGTGGTGGTTCAACACATTCGTAATGGTGGTCCTCGGTCTCGTCGTGGGGATATGTGTCTGCCACGAAGTGTCGTGTCCCTCTAGGAGTAAGGGCAGCCCAGAGAACACGAGAGTCCAGCGCAGCACTGCCGTAGAGTGCATTAGAACCACTCGTTTTGCCGGTTCCGCTCTTACATCCACCTCGAGCTCTGGGGATTAATAAGCTTCTTTACAAATTACAACATCTATTCTGCCCTAACAAACGTACATTAAATAAGAATGATTTCTCCACCAATAAAAAAATTACGGTTTAACGGTATAAACTGCGAGAAAGAGTGCTGCAATTCATGTTAACTCTATTAAATACAATAAAAATTATGTTCGTTAAACATATGATATAGTAAAGCTGAGTTGTATCTTAGTAATTTTAGTTATTTGGACGTGATTGTGAATAATACTTACTCTCTACACTTCAATAGAAATAGAGCAAGAAGAGCAGCAATACAGAGGACAGCTATGCAGCAAGTAATGAGCACCAAAAACCATGTATCGTCTGTAGCAGCTGGCTCTGAAAATAGTAGTCTTATAAGATATATTATGTAAACCATCAAGATATTTTATTAACCTTTATAACGACATAATACATATAATTTGTAATAGTAAATATGTATGTTTTACCATGCCGAGGCAATTCGTGGTACTCTACACCAGGAAATAGCGAGTTATCTTCATTGTTGTGTTGCGGAGGACATTTGGACGCCCTGCAGGGTGGAGTTAGATTGGCCATGTTCGCGAGGAAAGCTGGTAGCGGCGGAGGCGGCATATGCAGAATGGAATCGGGCGGAGGGCCCAAGGACAGACATTCTGCCCCACACGACATCCTGCAATCAAATCGTCAAGTCAATTAGTTAATATAATTTTAAAGACGAAGAAGCCATCGTTTAGAACAAAGACTTTATATTGAATTAAACGTCGGATAGCTCCTTAACATACTCAAAAAATGTCAATCTAGAGAAAACAATCATTATATGATAATTTTTTAAATTACCTTCTATACTAATCAGCAAAATTTATAAAAATAATGTATTTCTAAACGTTTGTAATGAAAGCTATAATTTAAATGACAAATAAAAAAAACAGTTAAAACAAATACTATTGTAAAAAGAACTTACATTTATTTATTTGTTAAATATTTTTCCCACAAAGAAGCACAGTGATGTACGTACTTTACTAAACTTGACCACTTTGGTCCAGGGATGAAAAGCGCATGCGTGGACCTATACTCTTATTATCCAAAACATTACATGTTATTAGATTAAAACATTTACATATTATACATTACGCCTTTTATTTGGCACTTACAAAATTTCTGTTAAAACCACGCAGCAATGGATAACGCGCATAATAAGTCTATCCTGTAAAGATACACTTTGTGTACTCTAGTATGGGGTAAATTATTGATCTGCGCAAACGCGCGAACTGATTTGCGTCCCTTAATACTTAAACTTGGGGTAAGTATAGTGCAGGCGGAGCTTATTTATTATTCGCCGTCTCTTTCATATAGGGAATAAGGAAGCATTTGTAGTGAAAAGGAAATAAATCCCCGTATATACCTACACTATACCTACTTAATAAAAGCAATTTTATTTTGATATATGAGGACTATGTTATTTAAGAGAAAGAATTAAGGAAATTTAATTTAATTTCCGTCGATATAACTATAACATTGTACACTAAAGCTCAGTCGTCGGATTATTCTGATTTTATTAAATATATCGATACATTATATTTTATTTACTGTAACTGTAGGTGTCCCCAAAACTAAATAAGATTCTAAATTCCTAAAGATGAAGAGTCTTCATTAAAACTCTATAACCATAAGTGAAGAAATATTCCAAATGTTTTTGGAAAGTTTCACAATAAAAATGCTGCGACACTTGTATAGGTATTCTAGCCTGACCGAAGCCGAAAATTCATAATCGGCCTTGGAACCAACCGATCCAACCTGGGACCAAAACTAATATAATTTTTTTTTTATTAGTAGCAAATGTTGCGAACTTAGCACAACGTTAAACAGAACTAAAATAGAATCTTAATATTTACAGTATTATTTACAATATAAATTATGTTAGTGTATGTATTATTAATATTAGCAAACGACAACGACGGTGACTAAAATTATTAATACTTTTGTTAATTAAATTTTGGAAACATGGACTTGGACTCGGTTAGCATTTGAATTAACGACGCATGATAGAAAATAGAATTGAATTGAAAGGATATCATATTAAAATATTCTCGTAGTAAGTTTTTTTGGTACCATTACCTAATGATAATTTAAGAAAGTATATAATTTATCACGCTTATTACCGGCGTTGACCACGGCCGGGGCAAAATAAACACTCTGTGGCTATGACGTCAAAAAGATGGCCGCCCCATTGATAAAGCGTCATGGAAGTTGGCTCGAAACGCGCAAACTCAGTTTCGAGTTATAGAACCATTGATAGATTGTATTATGGGTTATTTAGTGCCACAGATGCGATTAAAAACAAATGGATGCGTATCGTAACCATTATTTTTAATCCACAGCATTGCATTATTTAGTCTATGGACCTGCAACATGAAAATGTCCCGCACTTTTACTGTGTGGTATTTTAAAAATAAACATTAAATACATAGTGATTTGCATTGAGTAAAGCGCAATTGTACCGAATTTGATTCCCAGATATGATTCATTATATTTTTCCTTAAATATGGTAACCTACTTTTTGTAGGTAAATAGACATCAATACATACGTTAAACAAGTATTTTAATGTCCAGCGTATATCTAATTACCTATGAAAGTCTTGATTCACGTACACACCTGTATATAAAAATAATCCAACATTAAGCTTCGGATTAAATAAATAAGGTAAATAAACAAGTTCGGGGCGATTTTTGGTTTCAAACATTTATTAACAAATGTAGATATACCTACACATATTAGGTGTGTATTATGTTAAAATTGTCTTTAATAATATCGTCTCGTTTCGTAATGTCGTGTCGTATGTCGCGTGTATTAAGTTTCACGCTACTTTTCAGGTTGTGTACGGTAATAATATAGCCTGCTAATATCACAGGCCGTTTTAGACTTCAGTAAATCCCAGTACGGTTACAGCGGCGTCCTCGCTCGGTATTCTCCGCAAATTTTCGTCTATAAATAAACGCAATTTTTTTCAGACGTATTACTTGTTAATTGTCGAGATATAATTCTGTATTTTGCTTTGGTAAGTTTTAGTACCGGTGTTGTTTGCATGCGTAGTTTGAGGCTTTTTTTTATTCTGTAATAATGTCTAATTACTGACTTGACTTAGCTTATTTGTTTACCTATTGCTAGTAGTCGAACAAAATTTTTTTAATTGTTTATTTTCCCGGTAAATCATGGAAGTGAATGATAGTCAACAGGTGGTTTCAGCTGCTAGCTTTCCTGATTAGAGTCATCAATTTCTCTCACACGATAGATCGACAGGTTTTGGTAAATATCGCTTGGTATTTTAAAACTCAATAGAGAACCTATTTATCCACGACTTTTATAGATAAGTATCTACTAGGCATAGATTATTGACGTCACAAATCTGACTGACTTATTTCTATATACATATTTTCATGCTTCGTAACTTGTAACTTGTATCTTCGTAACTCTGAAATGGTAAAATAGCTTAATATCATCTATGTTACATAGGCGAAGTGAATATTCAGTATAAATATTATTTATTGTGTATGAAATTACACTTTAATATTCAAATAAATGTCTGTTACATACACGATCCTGAGATTTTTTTTTCTTTAACTATATCTAAATTTATGAATGAGTCTCAATAAAATTTTTGTCTTTTACTTAGTTTATTAAATTATTTTGGGCTCCACTACTTATTGATTCTGCATACTATGTCAAGAGTATATTTATAAAGTAGATAAAATACTTTTTAATATATAAAGTTTTAAAGTTAAAAAGTAGGTAGGACAAAGTTTTGATTGTTTTTTTTAAATCTTTGACTTGTTGAGAAAAGCATTATTTTAAGATACCCTTTAGCTACAGGAACATAGACAAGAAACAACATGAACATAATAATTGTACGTTTAGTGATACAACCTTAACTATTATTGCAAATAGTATAACATTTTTATAATCCTTCACGTCATATACCTTTCAAGTAGAGAACTCATCAAATATGTTAAGAGCTTTTCAAATATTCCGTTAGCTTTAAGAAAAATACTCTCAGGTTGTTATTATTGAAGTCTGTGTTTTTATCAGGATTGTAGGCGTGTACAAAGTTTTTAGTTACTTTCTTTAGGATTTCCATATTCCGGAATGTCCTATGAAATAAAATAAAATGTATAAATAAATAATTAAGGTCACAAAAAGCTTTAGGAAAAAATTCAAATACAGTACCTATTTGTTGGGCGAGATTACCAATCATATAATATAACCAAATTTGCCTGTTCGGGCTTAACGAGAAGGGATTATTTATTCAAGATTTTTTACAATTCAAGATTTACTATAAAATTGTACTAAGGGCGCGATTTAACCGAAATCATTAATTGTATTTTGAACACATTAATTTTTCACATGTTATTGCACATGAGGCACTATATAATTTAACGAGAATGAATTAAAAAATTTTCGGCGGGGGGGGGGTTGAAACGGCCCGGGGGGTTTTTCCGGGGGGGTGCTCCCCCAAGGGGGCCACCGAGTCCTACACCTTATCGTCGAATTTATTCAAGATTTTTTATATAATTCACTCAGTATTATACAATAAACAATCTGAATATACTCAATTTAGAGCAACAGCACGGGCCGCGTTGGTTAATCCGCCCGATAAATTTTGTCAATTTATTTTCGATTTTTAAATTATATAGTGCCTTCATGTGCAATAACATGTGAAAAATATTAATGTTTTCAAACGTTATAACTTTGTAATTTCATCTTCAATGATTTCTTAAGCTGCAAAGCATAAGACATTGAACCTTAGCACGCAAGTGTTAAGGTTGTCGTGACCACTGCGCGAGGGGTGCATGTATCAAAAAGGTTAAAGTGAAAAAAATTCGACGATAAGGTGTAGGACTCGGTAGCTCAATTGGTAGAGCAACAGCACGGAAAGCTGACGATGCCGGTTCAAGTCCTGCCCGAGTCGAAAATTTTTTAAATTTATTTTCGTTTTTAAATATACATGTATTTGCTAAAAAAATTACTTTAATCTGTAATAGAGACACCCTCCATCTTCATTCTCGTGACCACAGATGCTGCAAATTCGGGTTGTAGTTAAAATAAGTATATATATATAATATATATATATATATATTTCGTGTTTACCTACTACTAAGAACGTGGGATTTCCATGAAGATCCCGGGATGCTTCTTAATTGTGTCAGGGGTTCTACTGTGGGGTTTTAGTCGGTTTAAGTCCGCTTTACCTTTATTTACTATGACGAAAGGATTTCCCTACGAAAGAAATTATATATTTCGTGTTTAAAACCGTTAAATTAGGTTGTTGAAATATTTTATGAAAATTGTCGTCTGTTGACAGGGTTGAAACTTGGGGTCACGGTCTTGCGTCTCGACATACAGTGAATGATTGATGTGAGCTCTGCATTCGCGGCATACGGCGCTTTTCATTGTCACTCAAATAAAAATTCCGTAGTCTGGAAAATTTAATAAGAGGTGGTTGAGGTGTCGCGATCAAAGTAATAAAGGTTTTTAGGGTGGATTACTACTAGAACTTTTAGTTTTACCCTTATATTTGACAGTTTATAAGTTTCTACAATTAACAAGACTAGAGTAAAGTATTACGGTCTAATTTCTTCCGAACTTCTTCGTCTTATCCGAACGTCGGACCGTA